CGTGATCCACCGTAGATTATCCAGGGCGCCAATTCTCGAATATTTATCGAATTCGACATCATTTTCTCGCCATCGGTTTAAAATGGTGACCAAATTTTGCCGAAAGTGACGTTTATTCAAGATTCGCCTCCCTGTGTGTTCTGCGTGCGCTACCTACTTTTTTCCGGTCAAACAGCACTCGTGATCCACCGTAGATTATCCAGGGTGCCGATTCTCGAATATTTATCGAATTCGACAACATTTTCTCGCCATCGGTTTAAAATGGTGACCAAATTTTGCCGAAAGTGACGTTTATTCAAGATTCGCCTCCCTGTGTGTTCTGCGTGCGCTACCTACTTTTTTCCGGTCAAACACCACTCGTGATCCACCGTAGATTATCCAGGGCGCCAATTCTCGAATATTTATTGAATTCGACAACATTTTCTCGCCATCGGTTTAAAATGGCGACCAAATTTTGCCGAAAGTGACGTTTATTCAAGATTTGCCTCCCTGTGTGTTCTGCGTGCGCTACCTACTTTTCTCCAGTCAAACACCACTCGTGATCCACCGTAGATTATCCAGGGCGCCAATTCTCGAATATTTATCGAATTCGACATCATTTTCTCGCCATCGGTTTAAAATGGTGACCAAATTTTGCCGAAAGTGACGTTTATTCAAGATTCGCCTCCCTGTGTGTTCTGCGTGCGCTACCTACTTTTTTCCGGTCAAACAGCACTCGTGATCCACCGTAGATTATCCAGGGTGCCGATTCTCGAATATTTATCGAATTCGACAACATTTTCTCGCCATCGGTTTAAAATGGTGACCAAATTTTGCCGAAAGTGACGTTTATTCAAGATTCGCCTCCCTGTGTGTTCTGCGTGCGCTACCTACTTTTCTCCGGCCAAACACCACTCGTGATCCACCGTAGATTATCCAGGGCGCCGATTCTCGAATATTTATCGAATTCGACAACATTTTCTCGCCATCGGTTTAAAATGGCGACCAAATTTTGCCGAAAGTGACGTTTATTCAAGATTCGCCTCCCTGTGTGTTCTGCGTGCGCTACCTACTTTTCTCCGGCCAAACACCACTCGTGATCCACCGTAGATTATCCAGGGCGCCAATTCTCGAATATTTATCGAATTCGACAAAATTTTCTCGCCATCGGTTTAAAATGGCGACCAAATTTGCTCCCCAGTGCTACTCCGCTGAACCTGAACGCTGCTACACCTGGTCTCCAAGAGCGGTCCAACCTCTGCTGAACGCCCTCACTTTCTCGTGCCCTCATTTTATCCCTGTGGACAGGGGAGTAAGAATACTTCCAAGGTTCTCGCGCCTGTCGTAAAAGGCGACTAAAGCGGCGTCGAGCCCGACGTAAAGTGGCCTTCTGACAGGTCACTTCTTCTTGAGACACACCTTCTGCGGCCCGCAATTAGCACCTAGGGCGCCGATTCTCGAATGTATATCGAATTTGACAAGATTTTGGTGTAATATGGCGACAAAATCTTCGTCGAAAGCGACAAACATTCGAGAATCTGCCCCCAGTGCTACTAGGCGGGCCGCAGTCGTAGGGGATCCCTTCGGGGTGAACCACTGAAGCCAAGGAACACCTGTCCCATGCACTTAGTGCATGGCATTTGCTATGACGTTAACTAATTGTGTTTAATCATCTTCTGCGGAGATTTTTAGCTTTTACAGCAGTACCGTTTGGCGTCAGACAGCTTCAGGCTCGAGATGAAGGCAAGCATCGGCGATGGATCTGCTCCTGCTGGCCCTCTGGAATCGCCTACAAGCCGAGAGAGAAGACTTCCTCGGTAGCAACTGACGCAAGTTTCTGACAGGTCACTTCTTCTTGAGACCGCTATAGGCCAAGGAACACCTGTCCCATGCACTTAGTGCATGGCATTTGCTATGACGTTAACTAATTGTGTTTAATTATCTTTTGCGGAGATTTTTAGCTTTTACAGCAGTACCGTTTGGCGTCAGACAGCTTCAGGCTCGAGATGAAGGCAAGCATCGGCGATGGATCTGCTCCTGCTGGCCCTCTGGAATCGCCTACAAGCCGAGAGAGAAGACTTCCTCGGTAGCAACTGACGCAAGTTTCTGACAGGTCACTTCTTCTTGAGACCGCTATAGGCCAAGGAACACCTGTCCATGCACTTTGTGCATGCCACTTGCTATGACGTTAACGCGGTCACATCGCGACCTTTCTCTACTCGTCCGACAGGCCGCGCTCGCCGCCCAACCGGACACTTCCATTGTAGATGGATACACGGAAATTTTTATGAATATACCTTGTCTTCAACCTTTTGTGTAAATAATAAAGATCAACCGTGATACTTAAACCCGGCGTATATTTTATTTTCACAACAATTACCCTTTTTGTCTATCACGATTTCAACATTTGGTTGAAATCGCTAATTTATCATGGGGCGCACCGGGAAAACTCCCGGTGTTTTTCTATTTTGAAGGCCTAGAAAAAGGTAGATAGTGATAAACATTATTTGAAGGGCAGAGAGGAAAAACGGTAGTTGTCACATTATGAAAGTTTTAGAGTATAGCAAAAACAAAGTTCGTGAATTCCTCTACCTCTTACATTAAAACAAAAAAAATCACATTAAATGCTACTCTAATAATAAAAGTATTTATTTAAACAATCTATTGACATAAAAAAAAAATTATTGGCATAAATTGAAAAAAACTATTTGAAAACATTTTCATAATGTGACAACTACCGTTTTTTCCCTGTTCCCTTCATTTCCATCGTTGTACACAGGATAGGCAAGACATAATAATATTTTCTAAATTACAAAATACAATAAATTATGATATTTGAACGTATAATATAAATCTGTGCCATTCCGTTTTACCTAATCTACCTACATAAAATAACTTCTGCATACCTAATAAAGGATTAGCGAAGTTGTATTTTCTATTGTTCTCTAAACACTAAATATAAAGAAGTTTCTCGTCAAATGTGTAATTCATTATTATATATTACTAGTATACTCAGTCAACAAAAATTATAAAACAATTTCTGAACTATAAAAATATAAATATTACCGGCTGTCGGTATATTTTTCTTAGTTACCAACTATCCCTGCATTAATCACTTAATACATTACTGACTACTGCATAATACATTGTATTGCAATGCTAATGTATAGTGATGGGCATAATCGAGATATCTCGATTATGAAAACAATAGAGATATTTCGATTATGATAAAAATAATTGAATAATTAAAATTGTATGTAAAATAATAGAATTTTCTCTCGAACAGCGAACTCGAAGTGTTTCGAATCGTCGGTTGTCGTGTCTGTCAATTGATAAACATTATTACTAATTTCGTAATTGAAGGGGTCAGTGGATAAAGGTGTTAACTGACATTTTTGAAGTTGTTCAGGAATGCTACTTTTGTAACTAAATATTACACAAAATCTATAGAACTTTTTTATATTCAATATATGAAATAACTTATAAGTGGAAAAAAATCGGTCTATAATATTCTATGGATGCTCTATAATATTCTTTGACACTTTTGTTTATGCATTTTCGAAAAAATGTCAGTTAACATGGATTACGGTACATAATTAAATTGAAGATAATAATAATTATTGAACGATTAAAAAAAATAAAACATCTTTGTCATTTTATTTAAGACACCCACTAATAATTAAGTATTATTACTTCTAAATTACGATTCAATTAATAATAGGTATTATACCGACAAATAAAAAAAGACATTAAATTATTCATTTACTATAAGTAGGTGCATATTTCTTTACTTATACCTATTTGATTTGGTTATAACTTCTTTATCTTCGCCTAACACTTCCAACTACATGGGGTCGGCAATTTGGTTATAACTTATAAATGGAATTAATGTAATCGAACATACTCAAAATCAGTAAAAATAGTCTATTATTTTAATAATAGACGATTTTAGTTTCGAGTAATTTTTCGAGAGATTCTCTCAAATACTAATCATTTGATTATGCCCATCACTATTAATGTACAGCAGTTTTATAAACAGCTGATATAGTACCTTAATACGTAAACTATAAATAGTACCAACTTAAAAATCAAGTTTTAAATAATTTATTATAATGAAGGCTATTTTAACATTACAATTGTTTCACTGATTGTCAACCATAATTTAGAAATATACAAAATATTAGTACATTATCTATTACACCAAATCTTATAAATTCTATTAAAAAAAAATATGAACACAGTTTAACATTAAATTTATGCTAATTATATTATAGATAAATTATCTACATTTTGTTGTAAAAGCAGTAAAATCGGAACCATTATTTACAAAACGCATTTTTCCTCTGCCAATAGTAGTAAATGAAATTAAGAATTTCCTTATGATCGTCGTGAATAATTACTAAAAATTGAGTTAGCTGGTTATTGCACCGGTCCCTTCTAATGCTTTACATGTAAAAATAGCTAAGTAAATAATAAATAGGAACAGTTTATATAAAGACAAGTTCATTTATGTGTTTTAAACTTGTACATATTATTATAAAACACCTCACATTTTCTTTATCTACTCCATATTGGAATACTATACTAAATTGGGTTCTATGAGATATTTAGACACTGCTTGAGATGGTAGAACCAATATTTAGTCTGCACTTTTTATCAAGATTTTCTTAATTAGCTTTAAAACTTACATGTTGTATTTATATATTTATTACAAATGAATCATTAAATTGTGTTTTAATACGAGTACATAGTTCCACAACAATATTAACTATTTTACTTTGTACATTTTTATGTTTCTGAATATTTGAGATCTTTAAATCTTATACTACAATATGGACTTTTTTTTTATATTATAACGTTACTTTAATCAATTTAATTTATAAATGAATTTAAATATTTAAAGCAATTTATCGATAATAAATAATTTGTGACTATAATGGTATGGGACTGTTGTATCATTTATAGATAATAAATATTAAAATTAAAAATAGTTATATTGAATAAATTATTAATTTTGACTCAAATGACCGGGGCCTACTGGTTCGTCGCTCGGGCTCGTTTCACTCTCGCTCGATGAACTTTCTGCAATATCCCAATTATCTATAAATAATAATGAAAAAATTAATTTTGAATTAATATCATAACATTAACATTCTTCAAATCAAACAAAATGTTTCTTCTTAAGTTTTAAAAGTACGTAATGAAAATCTTTAGTATACTTAGAACTATATCATAATGATAATTTTACTTAAATCAACTAATGAGTTATTCATTAGCTAAGTTTACATAGCTCGATAGTAAATGAAGTGATGAGAACTAAAAAGTGGGTACAAGTAACATTTTTTTTTTTCAAAAACAAGTTTTTGATTATACAATATTTGTCAATGAATTCTATTGTTTTACAATTTTTGAAAGAGAAATGAACATCACTCGCCAGAACACTTGCAAAATAGAATTTAAATTTTGCTCTCCTGTTCAAATTTGTTTAAAAATAACTTATATTTGATTGATTTTAATCACTTCAAATAGTCTAATTTAATAAAAGTAGTGTATGGTTGGTGATTACCTTTATAGACATCTTCTAAACAAAGCATTTCATCTAATCCTTTTGTCAAGTTTTTCAAAAAACTAAAATAAAAGAATTTGTTTGTTATAAAACTAATTTACTGCTGCTGCTGCTGCAAAAAAAAAATTAAAGTAAAAGGCATAAATTAATTACCTGTCTTCTGATGTACCTTGTTCTTCAGTTTCACCATTTTCCATGGATAATGTATTCTGTAATTAACATAATTAAGTTTCCAAGTAAGTCGTATGGTCATTTAATATTACCCGAAATTATAAGACGTGTGACCAAAGACATCGAGAAACCAAACTGACAAAGGACGAAAGACACCCTATGTTCGGACATAACCATATGTGATTTTGTTTTTTAGATTTACCAAATTTGTTACCTAATTTATTTATGTATTTTATTATTTAAGTATTTACCAAGGTTTTTTTTTAATATTTTTATATTATTTGGACTATTGATAATTGGCATTTTATATTCGGACTTGATCTTTATTATCTAATTTAAATCGTATACACTATACACGTAAAATTCATAATAAATTACATTATATTATAGTATATACCTATCATATAAGTATATGTTATAATTTAATATTATTTGGTATAAAATAATAATAATTTTATTAAAATTTCCCTCAAATTGTTTATATTACTATTTAAATAAAACATTATTTTTACTTTTTACCTAAATTAGTTAACGATTTCAGAATTTGGCTGTCAAGTATAAATTAGTTTTACCACATCTTACATATGTATTCTGTAGTTAAAGAATACAGGTAGGAGCTTATAAGCTTTGTCTTCAATCTTGTCTTTTAGAAGATATATTATTAACAAAATTTGGTACCTAAAGGATATATTAGAGCAAGATAACGGAACATATGACACTTGTAGTTTAAATACCTTGCATGAATAACTAGAACAAAACACATTACTTGGTTTAGCAAAAAAAAATTGTACCGTTTTTTTTTTTAATCTAGGTATTCAAAATTTTGACTACACAATTTTTCCTAACAACATCAACATAATTTCACAACAGTTTACAAATTTTCAATCTTTCAGTTAGGTCAAGATATTTTTACAATAAATTAATATTTTAATGTTATTAAGGTAAGTAAATATTAATAAATAAGCAAATACAGAAGCTACATTTATAATTTATTTGGTAGGCTAATAATTATGTTTGTCAAAATTGTAATAGTAATATACTGTTAGTATCGTTAAACTAAAGATACTTGTATTGACACTTAAAGTGTAAAAATATTCAAACAATAATACAAGTATTCAAAAAAAAAAAAAAATTAAACAATCTTAATTTTGTTTTAATGTAGTTGAAAATTAAAAATATTTAACCAAATGAGATATCAGTGTAGTGGTCATAAATACAGTACAGTTTATATGGATGTTAAAGACAGGATAATAAGTTATTCAATAAATAAACAACTGAATTACAGTTGATTAATAATAAATTATAATGAGACTTTTTTAAATAAAATTAAACAAAATATAAAAAGATTGGAGGTGATACTACGATGTCTAACAGCAGGTAAACAGAAATACTGGGTGGTTTTTATAATGTTAGTCTGATACAGAATATTCTTCCAGGGGTTTTGCACAAAATCCAATTAACTTCAACAACAAATATTCAAATATAGTGTCAAAAATCCGTCTATGGATTACAGTGTCCATGGAGAAATATATGATATGTCCATTTAATCTTCCTCTGGTCACATTCTAGCTGAAAAAAACAACAAATGGTTAAATAATATTAATAATAATTATAATATAAAACCAATTTTAAATGAATTACTAATGTTAACGTTTGTTAATTGTGAAGTTAAAATTAAATATAACGAAAATTGATAATGACATTTTTTTATACCATTTAACTTCCAACTTTTTATACCATTCAATTTAAATTATCTATCAATAACACTTGGAAGAGTGATTTCATGAATAGACTATATTTGTGACCGGTATATATCATGTGGACCTAGTTTGTTATCTCATACCAATGAAGCGTAAAATCTACAAGTAAATGCAATTTTTCTTGTACAAAAACTAACAATGTTAGAAAATAGTAAATTAAATTATTAAAAAGAAAGATAATTTACATTTGATTTCTTTTTTTTTAAATACCCTATATTAGGGTGTTTTAGATTGATATTAAACTAATTTTGTATCAATATTTGTATTAATACTACAAATCTAGAATGTTTTCCATACCTAATCTATTTAGACAAATGATAAAACAATTATTTCTTCCAGTTAGTGTCGATGGAGAACTGTTCAACCAGAATCTTTGACTCATCTTAAAACTGAAAGATATATTTTTAATAAATAAGTTAAAAGTTGAAATGTTAATTATTAAAATAATAGAGATTAAATCAATTAAAACAATTTTACAAAAAATAACTCCATACCTGTTACCACACTTAATCAGACTAGAGATAGTTTCAGTAATCGAACCGCTCTAATGAATAAGCATACCGATAAGCTTTTTATGACTTCAGACAACTACCATCATACTGTAAAACATAATTTACTTGTATTAATAGTTTTATTTAAATAGGATGTAATAATATTGTCACACAAATTAGTACAATATAGTGTATGTCTGAACTTTGTCGCTAGGTACTATAATTGATAAATATATTATGTTATTCATATTAAATATTGCAAGTTTATATTATGTGAAAATAAGAGTTTTGAATTATGAATTAAAAAAGAATTCTAATAAAAATATTCATTTAATATTAATAAGAAACGAAAGTAAATTTTATTTACCAATAATTATCGTTGTCGTCATATGAACTAGTTGGTTTTTTGTCATTATAAATGTATCGTAAAAATGTGTACTATTTAAGAAAATATAATATATTTTAACACGGTTATTTTTTTTTATCATTTGAATTATTGCCGTTTAGTTCTAGAGATAACAGTTAACTCTGATAAACGTTAGTTATATTTTAGTTACTTTTATTCTAATAGAATTGGCAGACTGATAGAATGTGATTTTATATTTTGGTGTTTCTGGGTTGGTCACGCTGATAAAATAAAAATTGTGTTATCTTTTGGAAGAACTCTTATCTCTTATCATTTTTTGGAAGAACTGCCCTGTACACTTGCTGACATACCTATATTACTTTTTCATGGCAGGGTACTAGAGAAGTTATCGGTTAGAGTGCACTGTGCATATATCTCTACAAATTCTAAAATACAATTAAAACCGAATGGCCAAATGCAATTGCCAATTCATTTCATTACGGAACTCTGAAGCCTGAAGGACCAAATCACGTCTTGAGCAGTGAGCTGTCTTGAGTCATTACTGAATTGCTATATGAAGTCTGATGCTCTGATATGACATTGTGAACTGTCAAAATTAAAGGTAATTAATTATTTATTGTCTTAGGGTCCTGTATATTGCAATGTGTTTTGTTGAAAATCTTGTATTTTAGTTCCTGTTACTTAATTTTTCTTTGAACGTTCGTCTATCGTCTATAACTCATTGTTATGTACCGTTGATGTGTCGAGTATTGATTGTATTACATGTCTGAAAATATCCTTGTAAAAAAATCTCATGCATATGGGTTGTCGATAACTCGATGGAAACCGATAAATATTATGTTATAATGAAATTTTGAGGTTAGCGTAGAATAGATTTTATGTTTAAAATAGATGTAAGTTTTATTTTGCGCTGGTACTTATAATATATGGTCTTTATGATGATCTTTACAATCTAAAAATTCAACAATAAATTTTAAATGTTTGCTTATCTAGTTCGTCAAATATTATATTTTGATAAAATATCTATAGTTACACAGCAAAAGGGTGTAAGCAACATTTCTCGTAGTTTTCAGTAGAGCTAAAAAGAGTTATTTGATTTTTATTAATTTTTTTTTGTCTAGGAATAATTTGTACAAAAACTTATATCGTATACCTATATTATAAATAAAAAATTCCTTATAACGTTTAGATTCTATTTTCTGAGCAAAAGAAATATATTGTTGTTTATTCCGCTAACTTAAATTTAAATTGTTTGTTGTTAAACGGGTTTGTTCAAGTGAACTGGATGAAGCACATTTCTCTCCAACCAATATCATATAACAATATCAGTTAAGGGTAAAAAATTCCCACTAAAATTTTAAAAGCTTCTCTTGTCCTGGTTATTCAATATATTAAAATTAATTAATAATTTTAGACACATTATTTCAATATAAATTTTGTTTTTACTGTGTGCTACGCATTATCAAATTCATTATGCCTCAGTTATCAAGCATAATGGTCCGAAATGATGCTATATTAAATTTGGCTGTTAACGTGAATGGTTTTTATATTTTTTATGCTGAACTTTTTCAAATAGCCAAACAAAAGTAAAATTGTATCATTTAAATTATGATTGTAATTAAATAGATTGTTTTTTTATTTCATTTTTAGAGCACCTGGAAAAAAAACTGAAAAGCCGCCTATACGGACTTATAAAAGTGGTAAGTAAAATAAATCTGAAATTTATACATAATAATCATTAATTATTGGTGTTATGTTCAGTTACATAAATCTAACAAAACCATTCAATTTTAGCATAGTTTTATAATTAAAACATTTGAGTTAAAGGTTAATTTAAAGATTTTTGGTGTATCAGTCTGCGTGTTACTATTGTATATTTCTATTGATACAAATAGCGTCTAAGCAGACACATATTAAAATACATTATTAATTCTAAACGAGGCAATTAGTATTATCTTGTTAATTAGTAAATGTAACATTAAAAAGAAATGTAATGTAACATTACTAGGAAGAGCTTCATCAAATTGTATATCTGGAGTATTTTGTTATATGGATGCGAAAGTTGGACCATAAAGAAGTATGAAAAAGAAAGGTTAGAAGCGATGGAGATGTGGATTTGGAGAAGAACAACAAGGACGAACTGGACAGATAGGAAAAGAAACGATACCATCTTGCAAGAAATAGGTGAAGAAAGAAACATCATTACTGCTATTATGAAAAGGAAAGTGAAGCTCATCGGATATTTGTTAAGAAGCAACGATTTTGTCACAAACATCTTGGAGGGGAAGATTATGGGTAAACGACCAAGAGGAAGCCCAGACAATCATACTTAAACAAAATTAATCAACGGATGGGGTTTCACTTCAACACCTGAAGAATATGGCACATGATAAAAAAGTTTGGTTACAACGACAAGGCCTTGCCTCTAAAAACTGATGATAACATTAAAAATAACAATTTCTTTTGAAACTTAGGTATTAATTTAATTAATTCATAGTAGTATATAAATTAACTTTTCCATTTAAGGAAATTCTTGGCATAATTTTACTACATTATATCTGCATATCAGTTTTTCATAATTAGTACATACATGGTTTTTTTATCACACTGACTGACCATCACAAAATTGGCATCTTTCTGATGGACTCAATCGCTATTCACCTACTATGCACTTTACTAACAGTGGTAACGAATGTACTAACTGTTAATTAAATAGTAAAACAACAATTTAATAGTAATATTACAAATACAGGGTCCGGCATAAGTCAGGACACGAAAGTAAAGTTTAATAAAAACACAAAAACTTGCTCAAATTCAAACAATTTTTATTTAATATATTCTATAGAATGTGCAATTTATGTGTGATAAACCACTTCTGGCATATCGTTGACCTTTGTTGGTGACACAGGCATCAAGGCGCAAACCAAACTTCGCAAAGCTCTGTCATTTCCTGTGCAATTTCTGCGATTTATTCATTAATTGCGGTTTTAAGTTCTTCCAAAATTATAGGATGGTGTTTGTAGAGTGTAGACCTCAGTTTTTAAGTGTCCCAACAGAAAAAATTACAGGGGGCCAATGATGTCCCCTCTGCGGGAGATGACATGGGCCGGGAAGAGTTTGTGCACAAATGCCATTGATCGAGTGGCCGTCACACATAAATCGCACATTCTTTAGAATATATGAAATAAAAAAAAATTTTGAATTCGAGTAATTTTTCGTGTTTTTATTGAACTTTACTTTTGTGTCCTGACTTATGACGGACCTGTATGTCCTGAAACATGCACTACAGCGCTCTTTACAGTCATAATATAGCTGTCAAGTTCTATCCATGTGCTAAATTAAAATTAATGAATCATTTTTGTCTAAACCATTTGTTTTGATGGACTTAATTTAATTATTAATTACATTTTTTTATCATTATTTAATTTATGTTGCGGATAGAGTACAATAAATAACTATACTTTGCACTACAGCGCTCTTCACAGTCATAATATAGCTGTCAAGTTCTATCCATGTGCTAAATTAAAATTAATGAATAATTATTGTCTAAACCATTTGTTTTGATGGTTTTAATTTAATTATTAATTACATTTTTTTATCATTATTTAATTTATGTTGCGGATAGACTACAATAAATAATTTTACTTTGCACTACAGCGCTCTTGGTAGTAATTACGTAACTACCAAGTTCTATCCATGTGCAAAATTAAATAATTAAAAATATTTGTAGTTAACCATTTGTTTTTATTTTGGTGCATACTGTTTTGAAATAACATTTAAATTTTAAATTAGTTATAATAGTTCTTTGTTTTAATTATTAAAATAAATGTCAGCTTAATTTTTGTTGCGTTTAGCGCTCTTCACAGTAAATAATTGTTAAGTCTTATCCATGTTCTAAATTGAGAAATTCAAGATAATATGATTCTCAACTAATTCTTCAAGTTGGATTTAAATATTTTTAAATGGCAATTTGTGTTCTAGTTTAATAAAAAGTAAATTTATTTAAGAGGTATTATCTATTTTCTTAGTCTGCGTGTTACTAGTGTATAGAAATTATAAATTATACATTCAGCGTCTAAGCGGACACATATTAATATACGTTCTATTATAGGAATATCTTGGATTTGGTAAAATTACTGTCTAAACTTTCTATAATCGCGTAACAATAATTATTAGATACTGGTTGAGTTAACTTCCTTGATATAATTAAGTACTTTCTTACAATATACTTATGCTTAACATAATTTTAATTTAAACTCTTTGCAACTGGAATAACTAACTAGTGATAGTTCAATTAATGAATACTGTTTTTACTATGTACCTACCATTAAGTAATGACAATATTAGAGTGAATTATTGATAATTTTTCATTTTTATGGTACTTGATATTATGGTATTTTAAAATTTACTTTTCTTAGTAAATAGTAAAAACAATTATTTCTTTTTTGCAGGTAGACGCAATTGGACATTGGTTATTGAAAGACAACAAGTGGAAAAGTTCATCGAAGAAGTTACCTGAATTCTGGATAACATATTAAATAAAATTATGATAATTATTTGTTAAATTTAATAATCTCAAATATATTTGTTATTATTTAAATATAAGTTAAATAAAATATAAATTAACTTATTTATATTTAAGTATTTTTATGTTATCACGGAAATAATAAGTTTCTATACATACATTTAGAGTAACGTTACATAAAAAAAAATGTTCATTATTAACTGAAATGTTTGATGTAAGAACGACGATGAGAAAACAAAATGTATACAATTTTGGAAAGACTAGACATAGCTTTAGCGCCTGAGAAACATATATAGGCAACTTAACCTACACCAAAAATTATGCAATCTTTTTACTTAAGAGGGCGTCGCACCGGTGATTTCTAAGGAGTAAAGTATAGGCAATTTTTCGAAAATCTTAGTTTTGAGTGAATTATAATGTATACTTATAACAGTAATGAGGATACTTTGTTAATTGCAATTTTTTTTGTCAGACTATCACAGTCATTTCAATATGATAAAATACAATTTTTTTGCCATCAAAACTGCTTTGCGCGGATTAATTTTTCTCAGGCTTCATACATAGTTAAGGAAAGAAATTCATACATATTAATTATGACAAAATTATCTGTGTTCCATCTTTCGTATTTTTTCGATGTGCCTATTACAACCAACGCTATATCATTTTTAAAATAAGTCCTTTCTTAATTAATTAATTATTCATTGACTGGTTGAAATATTAAAAAAAGGGCGATGGTAGAACATGGACAATGTCGTCTATATTATGTAAAAATTTGGTTTCTTAATTTTGATTATAGCCTTTGTAAAATTATTCCGCGCAAGGCGGGTTTTTGAAGAAAATAACGGGTGTGTGACGTCCTCTTAACTTATCAATTACAATCGGTTACTGAATAATATCAGTTAGGCACATAGTCAGACCTTGGCATCCACCATTAAAATATTGTCACGATTTGATAAGATGTACAAAATCACGTTTTTTCGGCTAAGAAAATTTCCCATAGGACGGGTATAGGGAAAAAGGTCACTCGCCGGGGGTTATATTTTTAATAAAATTACTCAACCAGCCAGAAATGAAACCAACGATGTATGGAGACAATCAGAGCGCTATCAGACTTGTGAAAAATCGTAAAAATGCCAAATATTACCAAAATTGACACTCTTTTGAAAAGCACTACAACTTCCTGTTCGTCCTCTCGTTCCAACAGTGAGTTCACTCTCACAGATGTGATGAAAAATTGTTATCTATAAATGATTAATGATATTAATCTTTCCAGAAACGAGTCAAAATGCATGGTTCTTAATAATACTTTAGAGGGTATGTTGATTTCAATAAATAGCTCAAAAAATTTAAATGACAACCTTAAATCTGAATTAAAAAGTCAGTTGTACAGATTTCATCAGACGGGTTGATTTTAGAAGCTAAACATAGGTTTATGAAAAGTAAAAGTGCTAATATATTAGTAAAGTAGAATCGTCTAATGAGGAGGTTAACCACGATACCCTGAAAATTGCTAAAGAGTTGATAACTGATCTAAATTTAATGTAATAATCTAAATAAATACGTAAATGGCGCTCCAAAAAACTATAATTCTCTTCGTCCGTCAAACCTAATAGTAGTAATTATTTCTGTTTATATTGTAAAAATTATAATACATTTTGTGTATATAACTGTAAAAACGTAATTATATCTGTAAAAAAATGTTTTTGTTGGTTTTTATCAAAATGTTAGAGGTTTGAGAACTAAAATTAAGTTCATGAGAAATTTAAGCAAAACGGTTCATGGTCTATCTACAATGAATTTTCAGAAAATAGGGCTTTAAGCAAAGCCTTGTCAAAATGTTGTTACTCGAATTATTTGTGCAATGAACAAAAATAGTTTAACGTCTAATCCAAAATACTTTTGGACTTAGGTAAAAAGGTAAATTGCTTATCTACTACTTTAGAGTTAGACAATTGTCATTATAAATTGCAGTCTGACTTGGATACATTTTACTGGATTTAACAGATTGCAAATTTGAATGAGAGTAAATGTTTACAAATTACTTTTACAAGAACTAAATCTTATAATTATCACCAGTATGTATAATTAATGGCTGTAAATCATGTTAAAGATCTAGCAGTTTTTCTATCTGGTAATTTATCCTTTACGAAACACATCATATATATTTGTAAAAAAGCTTCACGTACATTAGGATTTTTAATGAATTTCAAAATATTGCATGCTTAAAAACTTTATATATTGCACTATTGTATGGGCTCCATATGTGGCTTGTGATATAAATAAGATTGAATCTTTACAACATCGATTTTTAATTAATTATCCTACAAGATTATTATATCATTACTAAGTTGCTTTTACTCACTACTTTAATCATAATTTATATTTACAAACCTATTCTATATGTTATTTACAATTTTCTGTACTGTACCTAACCTCCTAACCTTATGATAAATAAATAACCTAACCAAAAGTTTGAAACCATAAATTAAATTTTTTGATTACCGGTGAGGTAGAGTTTGTCGATTGTTATACAACAAAACAAATAAGCAACGTAAATAAATTATAATTTTTATTCAATGTTAATTTTTAAGCATTTATACGTAAAGGACACACGAATGCAATAATAATAATAAATATAAATATATATATTTTTTATAACATATATATATATATATATATATATGTATAATTTGGTATTAAACAAAATAAATATTTTAACTATGTACCAAAAATAAAGAACATGTTAATTTATAATAAAAAAAAAATAATAAATTTACAACGCAAAAGCCCTCAATTGATGGGTAATACAGTATAATATGTTTTTGTTACTATCACATAAAATTTGAAATTAATAACATGGGATGCCTTCTACTCTAATTGAGTAGAAAATTTAGGTGTATTTAAAACAACAGATGAATGGAATGTAATAGTTTGGGAAAAAAAGTTGACTCAACAACATTAATGAACAAAACTTTTCTGATAGACGTGGAGCTTTTTAAAGATGTTTGCCAAAGTCTTTACATGTGTCTGGTGTTTCCAAAGTTAAGACCGCTTTGGGTTGCACCCTTGTTGGACCCATATTGCAAACTGATAATTGTCTGGCCAGCCTTGAGCTTGTCTTCGCTGAAGTTACGGACATTCTTCTCAGCTTCCTTAGGTCCAATGCTCGGTGCGCCAAATTGACCGCCCTATACAAACGCAACAATAGTGATTTAATTAATTTTGCTTTAACATTGTTAATTAACAAAAGCTCATTTATCGACTTGCCTTTCTGCCCAACGATTGTAGACAAATCACTACGGAGTTCAAGTTTTGGCGTTCCCACAAGTCTACGGTTTGGAAAGTTTCCTGGGTGGGAACACCAATGGAAATGGCCACGGCCAAAAAGTTATTCAAGTTTTCCATGCACTTGAACGCCATTGTGCTGACGTTTACTTTCTTTATCGAGCCGGGCACCAAAGTGTTAGCAAGTCTGTGAACACAAAAAAAAAAGGAGAATATAATTACAATATTAATAGTATGTCCAAGGAGCTTTGTCTATACAATTTAGTTTTGTCTAATACAGAGTTAGGTTATATCTCATTGAGTTTAATTAATAACTGATTTTTTATTTTCACCCCCATCCCAACTTGGTCGATTCGATAGTAATTTTTGAAACCTAAATGGTAACGCATGCATACAAATCATTGACTTTTTAAATTGAGAATAATGTACTAAAAATGTTGACTGATCGATAACCAGTTTTGGGTGACCAATTTTGATGTTATTAAGTTCAAGTTCATGGCAGGAGGAAAGGTGGAGTGTAACTCTTGCCAAACGGTACAATTAATAATAAAAAATAAAAAAACCGTTTAAATGACAACACTATAGCAATTAGTCGGTTATACTGTAAAGGTACGGCACGGTGTATTATATTTATTATATTATAAGAAGATCCGAAAGTGACGAGATGTTTATGATAATTCCAAGGACATGTCATGTGTCTGAAAACAATATTTCATTTGTATTAGACTCAAGTAAAATGTTGAATGACTCACTGGCACAATACTTGTCCGTCCTTAAGCACTTCGTAAAAGTTGTCCGGGTCGCCAGATGTGTTCAATGGCAAACCGGTGACGCTTCTCACCCATTCTAAGCACTCTTGCGCTAGTTCTTCGCTGTATTTGCTGTTGATCTGCAAGGGAAAAAAACAAATAATAATTAAAGGTCATTTGCACAGGCACAATACATCAATAGCTTGTCGATAGTCTTGGGAAAAAGCAAAAAAATGTTCTAAGCTAAGTATAGTTGATAAGATTTTTGGGCACCATTCTTTTCATGCCTTCGTGATTTCACACAACGGATGATGTAATAGGTCTTTTCCTTATCTTAATTTGATCGCTGTTTCCCGATGTAAACCCATAATTAGCACGGCAAATTAACTCGTTCACAGCTATTAATTGTATAATTACATTGTTCATTTTGTGAAATAAGTACACACTGGCTGGACCCAACCAACCAAATTGTGGTAGTCTATATTATTAAGTGTTTTAATGCAGGGTTTTTTTTTTAATGAATTCATAATTAGGGTTTTCTAACTGCATGCGATATGAAATGGTCCAACACAAATGTACTATAAAATACCAATTAATGTTATAAACTAGCTTAATTAGTCTTAACGTTCTGGAAAGTTACAAAATTGAATAAAATAACGTTCAGCGTGTATTTAAATAACGTTTCGAGATTTGAACATTATATTATTGTAGACTAATTATACAGAGTTTGTTAGATACCGGCGTTCAAATAGTTCTTACAATCTACGCAATATGTATATAGTAGTATTACACATGTGTACATTAGACCATTAATGACAGTTCATTGAGTGGTCACACGATGCGCTACTTTTTTTTTTATAATTCCAGATAAGGCGAAATGTGTCTTGGGCTCGAAAGTCGTACCGTTTATAGTGTACCTATATACATAATAATATTATCCAACACTTTCTAAACAGAGTAATATTGCACATAAGAGTGCATCGTTGAAACGTCTTATACAGGAAGTGCGGTTTGAACACCGTTCGGGTTACCTATTAATAATTCCAGTTCAATGATGGTTTTTTTTTTATTTTTAAGGTTAAAAGACAAATTAATTATGAATTTCCAATGCTACAGATGGATAAGACGTCGTATAATAATATCCTAAACCATGTTGTAAGATAATTCGATCATGATTTCATGAAAAATAAGTAAAATAATAAAATATTATTATTTTTATAGCATTAGGTATACAATTGTTGTTTGTGCTTGAGGTAAGGAAGTCTATACGAGTTCCGAACAAACGGAGGAAAACATTTTAATATTCAAGTGGCCAACACATATAATATACAGAATGTGCTGAACGTGGAATAAATTAGTCGCTGACATCATCGCTAAAATACACCATTAAACACTAGTACATATTGTATAGTTAAGGCTTTTTTCTTCATATATATATATATATATATATTTTATAATAACTGAACACGTACATTTATTTAAGGCCGAGTATATTGCTGAGTGAAACACACATTTCGAGTTCACTAAAACAACAAAAAGTCCAATCGAGGTTATTCCAAGCATTTAAATAATCATAAATACAGCACACACATGGTTTGTATATACAAGTGTATATTATGTGTAGACTGTTAATGTTTTGTTATAGCGTTTGGCATTTCTCAGAAACATAAACGTCTAAGCCCAAAGTTTATCACACAATTTTTTTTTTATCAATATGCATTTGCAGTTCATTTTGTTGTCAGTTTGTCACGAGAAAAAATTAACATAAACGACAATCCAGTGATAGCAACAATAATATTTAGCAAACCATAAGTAATTTTAACTTTTCAAACAGTGTTGGATAAGAATAAATTAGATTTATAAGATTTCTATAACTATAATAATGTTCAGTTCAAAACTGAATTTTTGTGGTTAAGCTTAAAATAGTTTCAGGGTCGAACTGCCGAGGCCAAGGTTGGGGTCCGACTCAAGCATTAAGCTTATCTTTTATGTAATAGCTATTATGATTAGAACTATGAAAAACGCTGTTTGTGTAAAATGAATAACAGAGATTTATGTTTACAATTGAAATTCGCAGAAATTATTAAAATATATCTACTTAATGTTAAGTTTAATGACTTCAACGAGAACCAATTACAAATAACAGATTTTGTAAGTTTTAAGTCGGAGGGGCTCCAACACTGGCTAATGGAAACCCAAACGACTAAACAATTAAAAATGTTAAACGCATTACATGTGGTCAACATAGTGACTGGCATTGTTACCTGTTTCTTGTCAAGTATGTGGCGGTAAGTAAATCTCAAAGTCTATACAAAAACAATGTCGACGACATGATTTCGAAAATATTGCTTAGGGCCGTGGACTGGACTTTATGAAGGTAAATGTAATTGCTTAGAAGAACATAAAAAAAATGTCTACCAGCGTTGGCATATTAAGTTGTTTAGTAATGGGACGTTATATAAACTCTGTAGACACTATTGACACTAGTGTAATTTATCAATAAATTATTATTATACGTGTAGTATGATACTATGTGTACGGTCCTTGTGTGATGGACAGGGCATAAATTATTTCGATGTGTCGCCTTTTTAATGGCCGAAATTCCATCGATTTGTGCTATTAACAAAAATAATTCCTACATCATTATGCTAATGGCAATTAATAGGTCTTAACGTACGTGGTATTGTTTACGTACAGCTTTACATACATTATGACAGATGACATTACCAATGGGTCACATTTAATTTTGTGTAGATGCAATTATAACAATATACAACATGTAATACATATATTGAAAGTTGGAATATATTAAAAAATAAATTCGTGTAAACGAGAAGGTCTTAACATAATTATTTGTATCGTATTCTACAAATTCCAATGTTTAATTAATTATTACGTTGACATATATATATAATGAATTGTACACAATGAATTTTTAACTGTTTACTTACTTATTGAAGAAAAATAAATAATAATTTGTTTTCATAAATAAAAGTAAAGTAAATCGATGACTAGTACTCGAGTAGTTAGTAGCTAGTTGTAAGAATTAATCGAAATTGAGACATTAAAAAATAATAAATAGTGTGTAAACTAAAATCCTCTCGAGGCTGCGGGTGAGAACTTGGGCGTGGGCTCTCTGTAATCGATAATTAGAAACTAGAGAGAGAGAACAATGTCATCTGTAAATCACAGAAAACTCAGAAAATTCCAGAATACCCCCTCTCGTTAAATTTCCAGTTTAAAACATTGAAAATATAAAAAAGGAATTTAACCATACAAACATGCCTTATATAGGGATTTTGTTTTTTACAAAATAACATGAAGTAATTTTTAATAATTATCATTCTCGTTAGACCGAAACAATAATATAATATTTTAAATTTCATAATGTGAAATCAAATTTCTATAAATTAAATTAAATAATTCAAACAAAATAATGCGATTGCGTTGTTTAAATAATATGTAATTGATGTTTATGTTTTAAGAACTTCAAATGATGTTAATTAGTATTTTTGTATCAATTAGAAAAAGCTACCATTGATAAATCGTAAATGATTTTGAAAATAAATAGTTACTAATCTATCTTTGTGGTTCTCACCACTTCAATTAGTCATAGGTAGATTAAAATTAATTAAATTTAATTAAGTATAATATGTGTGTAAACTATTCTTATATTGCTTCTCCTCTACAAATTTATAACATACATATTGGCACACGAAGGACCAGTTATTAATTCTTTCGCATAAACAAAATTGCATTTGATTTTATACCTGCTGGCAATTTTAACAACACCAAACGATTGAAATCTGTACGACTTTTTATGGTAATGTGGAGAGTGTGCTTGTATAATAATAATAATAATATAATTGCACAGTAAGCGTGCAAAAAAATTACAAACAAACGATTGGCATTTGCTCGTATAGGTATTTATTATTATATTCTATAAACGTTAAAAAGTACAACCGCAGCGAAGCATAGAAAATATTATGTGCGTTTTGAATAATTATCCACGGATAAGGGTAGATATGGTTGTGTAAATATAAAACCTCATCATATAGGTAAAGGTATTGTTATTCTATTTTTTTTCCTGTTAAGTACACTACAAATCGATTTTGCGTTCCTTTTTTGGTCCAGCACAGAATCCAGACACCAAGCCGTTTAAACGATCTGTCTCGAGCACTTTTATTTTCACACATGTATACAAACACAGACACACAGACTCAACCCAATGACCTATATAATAATATTTTATAGTAGCACTGGCGATAGCGAGATGGCCTGCGCGAACGGGCAAAAAACCGATCGACCCACATCGTCCTTATACGGTAACTCATTTGATAAAGCGACACGGCCTTATATAGAATAAACGGCACGGTTATGAATCATCGATTCGTATCAGGAGGAGGCCATCTGTTTGTACTATATCAAAATCAAGGATTCCGACAAAAAAAAACCTATCACCGAGCAATAATAATTATTATTGGTTATTAACGAACAATAAGTCCCAAAAAGGATCTATCCGGCCAGCAAACGAATCGACCGGGTCGACCCGCGACCGTTGTCTGCCAACATAACTTTCCGTTGTGTTGTAACATTACCTATTATCACACCGAATACCTTTACCGGCCATGTCCAGCTATATTTAATAATAATGTACAGCTATTGCCGATTCAAGTACCTATAATACACCGTTATAATGGTGTGTGTTTAGAGAATTTTTGTGAAAATTAGTCTTCGACGACAAAAGCCATTGGAAACGATCGTAACCTAACCGCACTATCTAATCGCGCGTTTTGCCAATTGACGCGTTGGCCGAACAAACGGGAATTTGCACCAATAATAAAATAAATATTTACTACACAATATGTGTTAACAAAAAAAAAACTGACAAAAATGTAACATAAGTTAACTAAAAAGTAATAATAAAATATGTTTTATACCTACAATTCAATACTTGTATGTTGTTCCGTTTGATGTAATTAAAAAATGAGCAAGGTATATAATTTTTATGTTTTACTCGTCTCCGGCTTTAAAATTAAAAAAAAAAACAATAATTACATAAATATAATAAACATAACCCATAAGTAACTTTTGTTACTTTTTTGTAGGTTTTTTTATATAGACACTTTTTATTTTACTATTTTAAGTGATGGGTAGACCTAGTAAGGACGATTTTCGAATGAGGAGACGACGGCTAGTTGAAACGGAAACCCGAAAGAGTTCCTATTTGATTTTAAGGAGTTCCCAGGTGTATCTTTTGGTCCAATACCAATGAAATTAACACAAGGACCACCTTGGAGTATAGACTGAACCCAACGCAAAAAGAATCATTAAAATAGGTTAATAAACAAAGAAGTTATACATAAAAAAAAATATATATATATATTCAGAACCGCCTCCTTTTCTGAAGTCTGTTAAAAACAACATAATACGATGTTATATTATGATAACATTAATATTATGATAACATTAATAAAGTGCGGTTGATCATGTGAGAGAGGCTACTTGCCTACTCGTACTATGATAAACATGTTTTTCGGCTTTCGTATAAAAACAAGCTTATGATGGTCCAAGCTGATGATGTAATTTTTGTCTATTATAGATAAATAGTAATAAGTGTGTACACTTGGTGGCAATGAATCGTTAAAAACATATTTCAACTGTATATTTGTTTATCAATATTCAATCGGTATCAATAGCGAGTGAAGTGCTTTTGAGTATTGGAATTATTTAATGTGACTGGCTTATGATCAAAAACTGTCTTAAAATTAAATCGGAAAAGGACGAGAGAAAAAAAAATATCTTAACATACAATAGAATCATTGTATACTTATTTTGAAGTTAAGAACACCTTATCTATTTTTTATAAGTACTATTTTACAAAAAAAAATCACAAGGTTTTTTCTTGGAATTATTGTCCTCTTGATTTTATTTATGATTAAGTTCACCTAACTATATTTGCACAACAAAAATGTCTAGAGTTCTCATAACATGATTTTGATAACATTAATAAAGTGCGGTTGATCATGTGAGAGAGGCTACTTGCCTATCTCTTTTTCTTTGCGAATCCACCATTAACTAAATCTGTACCTACATGATCTTAATTTCTATAGACCCGTATGTACTCAGAGCACAAAAATAAGTATTAAACAACAGATAAACAAATCCGGTTGTTATTTATATTTCTGATGAACAGCAATAGTTAAATGTATATCTACGTCATTTGAATACTATAAAGCTTCGATTTTATGTCATACAAAATTAAAATACTGGTTTTTACCCAAACAACTTGTTAAAATAAAACCATTATTATATAGTAGGTACCTATGTAAAGTTGTCAAGGAGCAAACTTCGAATGTTATTTGACAGTTATTATTCTTGTTTAGATGTCCGGCATAAAGAACTGATTAAAAATAACCTAGATAGAAGTTATTATAAGTTGTACCACGAAAGTGCTCAATTGACAATACACAGATACCAGTTATGTGTAAAGTTTGGCGTTACTCGTCTCTACAATAGAATGTATTAGAAAATTTGCAAGACTTACAAATGTTGAGAATGATATTTTTTGTGAAAATCCTGCGTGACCTTTGTGGCTCCATATAATATATCATTGTTTATGATCAATAGTCAACAATACTATACATATAATTAGTGATAATAGATACTACTACGAACTAAGATTATTGTCTTAATTCCTAATGGATCCTAATCGATTGTAGTACGCAAAGGTACCATTTGTTATTTGTATCGCCGAAATAGGCTTCATGGGCATTCGGCTCCAAGAGGGGTACCCCTCCTGTGTAATTTTTTACCCAAACGCGTTTAGCTTTAGGCGGCAGTCCTACAGGATTTGTTTTTTTTATTCTAATCAATCGTTCCGTCTGCTGACCTCTACTCCTAATTGGATTTCCAATAATCCTTATGACGTTAAATTTTTACGGGTTTAGAGACCGCGGTACAAGTGTATAAGGTATGCGCGAACGGTTTAAAAATGTAAATAACGCCTACGCCAATGACTTTTCAACTTTGGTATGTGTCGAGAATAGGACGTTATCTTTGTGAGAAGGGGAGAGAGGGGAGGGGGAAAGAAACCGGTTTTCTGTATGTGCGTCCGAATAACAAACGGGTGAGTACCGCGGCCAACACTACTACTAAGACCAGTGCAGTATATATATAGGTGCGGTGGCGGCGAATATTATCAGGAAAGACATATAAGAATAATAATAAAAAAAAAAACGAGCCGTACAACCGACATCATGTTATTTCCTTTACCATGTTGGCATGTCGAAATAAGAAAAAACATAATGATAAAAAATGAAAAAAAAAAGCCAACGAGAACTACTATAATAAACGGATAAATCTCATTTTGCATTATACCAGTACCGAAGACCGATGCTTATAATAATAATAATAATAGGTATAACACTTATGTGCTCTATCTGTGCCGAAACGATTGTGTAATTTTCACCGGAGTTTTATGCGTTTTGAAACGATAAAATATAATGGCATATATCACGTTTGACAAAACGGCTAACAGCAGCATGTGTGTGTGTGACGACCGAGGACAATGAGTAATATAATTTCTATTTTATTATTTTTTATCGAACCAATATAATATTATATAGGTATAGGTAGGTACCGTTTTGAAACCCAACGGTGCAGTAATCGAATTTAAATAATAATAAAAACAATTATTATTATTATTATTATGACGGCATCGTGATTCATCTAAGAAACGTTTAGCACGATCCGGTTGTAATTATAAATTATAATAATAATCAAATATATACAGAAGTTTTGAGTGAGAAATCTTTACAATATTATGATGAGCACTCTTTCACACCATTGAAAACGTTAGGGTTTTTTCTCTGTAATGTACATAAATTGTGTAATTTTTTTTTCTTATTGTTATTTGGGTTTGCGCCGGGTTATCGTATTACAGACGGTGTTTTTCATTTAACAATGTCAGTTGAAAAAAAATAATAGAAATAATAATACTATTATTGTAATGCTATACCCAGCTGATATTTAAAAAAAAATCTTACAACCCAGGTACAATGGTCACACATATGCATTAGGTATGCGGTATGCCAGACGTATTGTTGTATTATTGTATTACAATATGTCAAACAATTAATAAAATCGCGTGGCGGTTTTTGTTATAATAATAATATTATCTTTTCAGATCATAGTCTTTGATAGGATATTACAGATCATAATTTACATCACGATCACCGTGTTGACCTATAAGTCTTTGTTTTTTCTTCATCTTCGTCGTGAACCCCGACGGGCGACACGAATATTTTTGTATGTACCTATGCACATAAACCATCATCGAAAGCCTTGGAACCGTTTAGAAAAACGAATTCGTCATACCCGGACCAACCGGCGGGTTTCATTGTTGTACGCGATAGACAAATTATTATCAAACTTCCCTGCACTATTACTAGCAACCTTGGTTTGAGATTAAATTAAATATAGTAATAATAATAGTGCCGGACAACAGGGTCCCTCTCTCCATCCTAAAAATGAAAAAAATACCCCAAGTATTTTACATGGTACTAGCCTTTAGACATTACACATTGTTAACCAGAAGGTTAATGGACTGTCCCATGTTATTGGTATGCACTATTTGAGTTAACAGTGTTTGCGTTGAACCAACAGCAAACAACCTGTCGGGAAATCCACCGAGGTGATAGGCAGGTGTGCAAATTTTCGTTAGGACAAACAAAACGAATAGTATTAAAAAACAGATGCCGAATGAATAATATTATCAGCTAGACACACACTCACCTTGCGTTGGGCTTCGGCGGCGAAACCGGACTTAGCTGCTCTGTTGTTTGCCATTATTTTTCGAATATTCTGTAATTAAATACTGTGGTGGATAATAAACGATCGACTCGTGTACACACAGGTGTTGTACTACTTGTACTATTGCTCTATTGTTGAGGGTATAATAGATAATCACTCGAGAGGAGCGGTTACGGTTACACGGTACACGTTCACACCGGACTGGGTTAAGATAGCGACTGGCAAGTGGTTAGTACTTAGTGGCAGCAGGCGGCCACCGAGTGGCGCAGAGGCGTCAGCGGTGGGTTAAGTACGAACCGGACCCGAACCTTACCGACAGCAGCCGCGGCCCAGCTTACATATATTATTATTATTATTTCATTATTGCCATACTCTGTATACACATTACACACATACACGGTAAACGTCATCAAATGGTAAAATATAAAATACACACTGATAATATTGTAGTGTGAGTAGGTATACTGAATTAGGCAAGGTTATTTCACTCGGCAGCGTATCGGTGTAGTACCGTGCAATTTAACGCGGTTTTTTCAAGAAAAAAACTGTCTAACGGTTATCTTAAAGAGGCAATAATATGGACATTACGATGGTATGACGTGTGTGTACAACAATGCGCATCCCCGACATGGTACACAATATGTTTTTCATAGAACAATAATAATATAATACCGGCTACAAGCACAAGTGGGATGCATGTAAGATCTTTGAAAATAATCACATGACTGTTATGGCGCCCCGCACAAGCGATCAAAATCTAACTACTAGTCTTGAGTAGTCATCAACATCTGAGAAGGGTTCATACAAATTATATTATAATATATTTATAAGTACTTACATTTGTATCTAAAAACAAGTCTAACCGTCAACCGGTTCAAACGATAAAGTTATAAATGGGAATATTTTAATATTATACATAATACACAACAGGGGCGACATTTCAGTTTTTCTTAGGGTGGGACAACATTTTTATCGGCCCAATGTTCATTTACAAATATAAATATTTTTTCCAAAACAGTAATAACATAAGTATTATAATTTATAAAATATAAACCTTCATACCTATTATACTTGGTAGTCAGTTCAGACGGATCATTAATAGTAAAGGTAGGTTGCATAAAAAACAGATAATTTACGGCCTTACGTACCGAAAATTTGACCAGCCCTTAAAAATCAAGGGTGGGGAAAATTTCCCCGCCTGCCCCCCCCCCAAATGACGCCACTGATACATAGTATCTTACACTCTAAAATTAGATAAAATGTAAATCGAGGGCGCAATTCTAATTTTTGATCTAAAGAGCAGCCAAATATTTAGTCAGGTACATAAAATCTATAGGTAATAATAGTAGGTAATTAAAATTATTATATTGTAAACTGTACACATTTAATGTTTTCGCTGTTGGTCTAATACGCAAATAGGTATACATTTTTATTATAAGTTGTTAATATAAATTGACAAGCAAAAATTCAGGACTGGAAAAAAACAACTCCAAAAAATGTTAATTAGTTTCCTATGTTTGAATTCTGACATTCTTCCACCAAAAAATACCAATATTACTACGATATTCACAAAATATTAAACGTTTAGTTCAACTTGTTTGTTTAAACAATTACACTTGTTACTTTACGTAACTTCATTTTAACTTGCTCGGCTTACAATTTATTATGTGCTTTAATTTATCGTATTGTATTGTTTACAATATATTTCATTTCTTTCTATACGCTTCTTTGAAATAATGCACTTAAAAGAATTCATTTAAGTTGTTATAATACAGAATGTACCTGTAAGAAATCAACATTTCATCAGTACGACATTCCATGTGACGTGACTTTAGGTCCGGATGGAATGCCTGTATCTCGATTATATCAGAACAATTATAATAATAATACTAATAAGTATAAATATTTATCAACCAATTATAAATGCTAGTATTTTAGTACTATTTTAGTAAAATCAGACCCCCAAATTTTTGACGTTTCATACATTAGGTACAAAGAAGTGAGGACTTAATAATATTTTTGGTGTTTCATTGTTTTCTCTCTTTAAGGAAGTTGCCTCCCTGACTGCAGTAGATATATTTCATCGACAGCCAATAAAACCAATACAATGCGATGACATTTACATTTGAGATGTCAACACTACAGGACAATAATTAGCCACGTCAGCTGTTATGGCTAATTAGATACTTACACACAAGTGTCAAATATAACAGCAAAATTGTATTTTACTCAGTATAGCATTTACCTCCTACACCAAGTTAGTAACGCCAGACAAATGAGTGATAGGTATGTATGGTAATTTTTACAACTATAGAAAGTCTCAAAAAAACTTCCAGTCTATCAAAATTGTGAATTTTTTTTTACGTTAACTTCTGGACAAATATGAGCATGTGAGAACATTATTTTTTCTAAATCGCATCAATAACAAAACCCACAGTTGGTCACTCACCTAATACTAATAATATTTAACTACCATAATTATCAAAATATAAAATTGTCAAGCTTTCACGTTACTTCACTGTCCGTCCTTATAAGTACCGCTCATATGATTTTATACCAGCAACATTAAATTGTTATATAAGTACCTACTACAAGGACAGAGTGTACCATTTAGAACGGTGGTGTTTCCATTGCCAGAGCAAGTTGCTGTAAACTAAAACAGTATGTTAATTTTTGATAACGATTGTACAGACTTCTCCAGAAATGTAGTTAAATTTCAAATAAAAAATTCCAATTTTTAACACGTCTATAAATGACTTGTTGTTATAATTTATAACTATTACCTACTTACCTATGTTGAAGCACATTGACATTGACGACTTTAATTTATACAACTCATTTTTTTTCATACTAGTAACCTTTTTTGGTAATTACTATATTGAATGTACATTTAACGTTACCGCAACATCAAACATGGTCAGCGACATGCTTTGATTTAATTGTCATTGTAAATTGTACTTGTTGCCTATAATAATAATAATAATAATATTAGGTTATATTAAAAAGTAATTTAATTAAAATTATGACCAAATTTTGGTATTGAAAAACAAATTCAAAGTGAGAACTGAGAAATCTCACGATGGGCTGCCAATATTATAACGCTTATTAATTTCATTTCGAACGTGACTAAAATGTTGGATATCAATTATTATAAACACTTCAACATCATTTGCACATTTTTGGCTCTCTCAGTGAATTTTTAACGATTGTGCATATTGTATTATGCACTTATTACTACCATCAATTTTAATTATTTTCACATTTATTGTTATTATTCTAGTACGCTTGGAGAGTATAAAGTATATTTTATTTTTATCTAAATATATAAGATTAATTGGTATTGCCTTTAATTGCAACATGGCAGGGTTCATATTTTTCTTTTTTATAGTCACTTGCTTTACTATCTTTGAGTATACAACGCCTTATTAAGATATAATCAAAATTCAGTTAAAGCCTTTTAGCCCCCCACCCCCGGATCACACCTTTCTATATACACTGAACTATACAGACATTTATATTTTATAAACAAGAGGACAATATGAATATTATACAGTATACTGCTTTCTGTTGTTGTGCATACAAAATATTGACAACATTTAAGGGTTTATTACATAAACGTTATTTATTAATTGATATTTAAGAATATTATTTTAATTTTTAATTATATCAAATATTAAACCCTATCGGTCGATTAGTGGTTATTACTTATTACTAAAATGTTATCAGTTTGCTGGTTAAGAATTTCCAAAGACTTTATAAGTACTAAGCAATCGAACAATAGCGGACTGTATATAATAGCTAGGTATGTACTTGAAGTTAACTATTGATTAATTACAATTTGAACGATTAAAATAAATAAATTTGAAAAGTAATTGTTTGTAAATAATATTTAATACGTTATACATTTTTAAAAGATATAACAAGTTTTTAAAATGCACAGTTCTAAAATTGTATTCGTATAAATTTTATGATGTCGCACTAGGTTTTAGTCAAAGACGTTGTAATTATTTTGTAGGCGTGTTGATATTTTTTTTTATCAATAGTACTAGAACAGGCAGAACAAAATGTTTTCTGAAAATTTAGATTTACAGGTTTCGAACTTATAATTTGTCTTTTGAGCTGCGTTTACTTCAGTTGAGAAATTCTATTAAATCGTTCGTGTTAGGTTAAAACGTTTTTAATATCGTTTTATCTTTTTTTAAATTTTAGGAATGTAGGTCATGGAAGATTTATATTATGTAAGTAGCCAAATACGACATACCGAGTACCAAAGGCAATTATTACTAGTGTAAATAGAGATAAGTTTAAATTGCTTGATTTAGTATTAGTTTTCTTCGTCGCCAGAGACCTAAGTTGTTTGTAAGCTATTTCCTTTATTTCCACAACTCGGTTAATCATTCTCGAGCTAATTGCACCCAATTGTGTTGAAGAATAACTTGTTGACATGACCCAATTTTAATCAATAACAATACAAAAGTTTTTTGCATTCGTGCAGTGTTATACAACAGTTTTTTGTTTTTTCCTCTACTTTTTAATTAGAGGTTCTAATTGTCAGTCTAGAATTTGATAACTATAATGTAATAACTAGTGTAATGATTGTAATTACACTTTTTGATAAATTCTTAATAGAAATTTAAACATATGTACATCATTTTTTTGTGATATATATTAGCAAACATTATGAGGAGTTACATGTAGTTACATTACATATTATACTTATACTTACACATAGTTTTATTATTTACTTTATGATTTGTATAATATAATATATGCACTTGTTATATTTTCTAATAAAAATATTTTAATTTTTACTAGTAATTTTGTGTGTTATACAGAGAAAATGGTCTTGTAAAGATTATATGTTTACCATTAATATTGTGTGTGTGATCATGTAATGGGATGACGAAAAGGATTTATCCAGAAGAAAGTATGGGTGCCGGGGTTTCTTCAAATGAATATCCTTCTTTGGAAGTTCATAACTATCCAGGAGTGATAATAAAGTAATAAACTGTTTTTTTATTTGTCTTAAAACTGCTTATTAATTTGTTTAATTTTTTTAGGGAGAGACGAAAGATGCGCATGTCTGGTTTTGCTACGTTACGCAAAAAGCTTATTAAGCGTCGCCGTTTCTCTAAAGTTTGTAACCACGGCCGTATTATTAGAGAATTAATATCTGACTGGTCTCCAGCTGAAGTAACAGCTCTATTAGAAGAATATGAAGCACTGGCTGCACTTAAAGATTTGTCAGTTCAAGCTGAACTAGCTAGACCGCCGGCTGCTACTTTCAAACAAGACTTATCTACACTATATGACCATAAGTATTGTACTGATGTCGATCTCATTTTCCGTGGCGTTTGTTTCCCAGTGCACAGGGCTATTTTGTCAGCTAGATGTCCATATTTTCGTGAATTGCTTTTAGGCTGTCCAGGCTATGGAGCTCGTATTTGTTTAGATTTGAGGACACCTGGGGTCGATGTAGAAATGTTTTCGGCTCTGTTACGGTTTCTATATACTGGCGATATAGCTCCAAGAGATGGTGATATAGATTTAGCGTTATTGAGAAGACTTGGTGATGAACTCGGCACACCAAATATTTTGGAAAACGATTTAAGATACCTATTAGAAACCGGAGACTATGCAGATGCTGCACTGGTATTTATTCCTGAAGGATATTCAGATCGGAGACCAGAATCAACTGGATCTGAATACGGTTTCCAACCAAAATTAGAGTTGCCATGCCATAAAGCTATATTAAGTGCGAGATCGCCATTTTTCAGAAATCTTATTCAACGAAGAACTAAATCAGGCGAAGAACATACAGAAAGAGCTTTGCACATTCCAACAAGGTATCAACATTATCTCGCTTATGTTTATTAGGAACTTCTAATTTTTAAATACTTACTTTTTGTGTGTTTTTATTAAATACATTATAGAATAGTATTGGATGAATCTGTAATTCCTAAAAGATACGCCAGAGTATTACTACACGCAATATATTTGGATACTGTCGATTTGTCTCTAATACTTAGAGGTTCCGGAGGCGGTTCCTCGGCTGGTAGCCTGAGTGAAGTAATTATGGCTAGTTGTTTCTTAAATGTACATTTTGTTAAATATTTTTAAATTTTAGGTCGAAGCTTTAACTAACACTGGACGTGTACGACCAAGTCCATTAGATGAAGCAATGGAATTGTATCAGATCGGTCGTTTCCTAGAACTAGAAATTGTGTCCCAAGGTTGCGAAGACCTAATTTTAGAATGGCTAACTTTAGAATCTCTTCCAGGAGTACTAAGGTAATTTTAAGCATTAATAATTACATTTTTATTTTTGATATTATTAAAAATTATCTTTAGGTGGGGAAGTGTACCTCACGGCTCAGCGTGGGTTCATCGTCAAGCTAAACATTTTCTGCGCGAGGAATTTTCTCAAGTAGCAAATAGTCCTGTTCTCTACCAGCTCGATAAATCACATTTAATAGATTGCCTAAAAAGCAATTTCTTACAATCGAGTGAACTTGAAATATTACAAGCAGTTTTGAAATGGGGAGAACATGAACTTATTAGACGAATGGAAGATAGAGGTTTGTTATTTTATTTTGACATGTTGTTGTACAAATTCTGATAGGACAAGAGTATCTAAATACAAACTTATCATGACAAAATCACAGTTACGTGGTTGTTATCTTAGTTAAAGCAATGATGTATGAATTGAATTAAAATTTTTAGAACCAAACTTGGTCAGTCAAACAACACATTCTGTGAGTCGAAAAGGTGTTAAAAAACGAGATTTAAGTGATGTCGAGCTTCGCGAAATATTGTCAGAGATATTGCCTTTGGTACGAATGGACCACGTGATACCGGCAGAACATGAAACGTTAACTCAAGCAATAAGACGTGGTTTAGTGAGCACACCGCCAAGTCACATGATTGGCAATGACTCACCAATGTTATCACATCACATGTCTCGAATTAATGCTTGGATTAGACATCCGTCGGGACTTTACATTAGACCTAGGCTTTTTATTCCTTACTATGATGAAATAAAGGTAAGGCGATCTATATTCCTCTGAGCCAGTTTGCATTTTTTTACTGTATTTTAAATAATTAATAATACATATTTTTATTTTATGGTGTGTATATCTACATTATATTTATTATGTATTCTATTCAGTCTCTATTTGAAGACCAAATGTTAAGAGAAGATGAGGAGCTCGTACGTAGAACACGATATATGCCGGATGGTATTCCCGATACATTGTACATGATTGAAGAAAAACCTACTCCGTCGACGTATGGTCTATCATCGCTCGATGTCATAACAGCTTCAATTCCTAGTATGACAACGACATATTTAGTCAAAGGTTGCTTATTGTAAGGTTTAATATTCTCTTACTTTTAGCTCCAGACGCATCAACTATGAACGCTATGGTTAAACGAGACCAAAAACTAAGGTCTGCTCCAGGTTGTCAACGTGCAATATCGCTGCCATTATCTAGTCGCCAAGAAATCAACCACCAAATAAGATTAAGAGTCGTCCGTGAATTTAATTTACCCGACCCCGTGGCTTATCTGTTAGAGGTAAACAAGTTTAATTTTTTTTCCAAATACATTTGTATACATTATTATGTGTTGATTATAGAAAGCTGCTAGCTCAGTGTGTTACTGTGGGGGAGGTCCTGATGAAAAACCAAAAGAAAGTACAAAATCTCGTACTAATCGTGCGAGAAAAGAAAAACGTAAAGGCTTGGCCACTAGTACTCTTCCTACTGCGTACACGCAACAAAAATTAAGAAAACCACATAGATCGTATGTTGCAAACGATGCTGTTTCTTCGTTGCGTTTCACCAACACCAAGGTAAGTACAATATAGTTATAATGGTATAATAAAAATCTTCTTGATAAATTTATTATTATTGTATAGTATGACGACGAAGACTTTGACGGACGAGGAGAGCAGGTAGTTATGCCAGATGTTGCAGCCGTTTCTCTTTCGTTGGATCAGTTAAATTTATGTCCTGTTCTTGGACCTGAAACTGAGTTACGGTTAGACCTGGGTGATAGTTCACCCAATCAATCACCTTATAAAACACCTCCTCCTCCTAAGCATTTTATTTAATGTGCTGCATGTTAGGTCATATTTTGCCATCTCTACTTCATCTTGAAAATATCTATTTCATGGAGCAATATTTGAAATTTAGTTGATTGCGTAAAGAACAACTATTTAAGCACTTTGAAGTGTTCTTGAGGAGATTTGTTTTAATTTTGCGTTTAGGAATTTATGAAATCCTTCTTGTTTTTAATATTCATTGTATTATTGCATTTTTCTGTCATTTCTCTGTTTCTAATCGAACATAAAAAAAATCAACAAGTTCAGTCTGAACAAATCTATTTATTAACTATTAACATTAAAATCTTATGTTCCGTCGATCACAAATTATTAACTTATGTGACTTGATATTTTTAAAAAATCAACTTCCTTCGCAAGTGTAACCACACAGACCACTACTATTTTTAATTTCAAGTTTGTTACTTTTCTTGTTTTATTTAGTTTCTAATTTACCGACTGATATATGAATCCTATAAAAACTATATTTATTTCAAGACTATTCTTGGTATGGTTTCTTAATTTTTTGTTTTTAAACGAATGAACTAGTTTAAATTTTGTTGTTTTGTGAAATTGCAAAATATGTTGAACTCGGTTAAGGTCTTGGGCCGATAACCAATAAGTACTGCGCCTGGTGTTGCGATATTAACATCAATGTATTTTTTGCTATTTGTTTCCAAACGTTATATTGTAGAAATGACACGAGAAAAAGTCTAATTCATTTTATTATTGTGTTTTCTTGAAACTATGTAAATACAGAATATAATCATTTTATATTCAGTTGTTCCATTATTCTTGCCAATTATCACTATGTACACAATGTTTAATTTAAAAGGTTATATTATTATTTTAAATAATCTGAACAATTTTAAGGAATATTTAGGTATTTTATTTTTGGGAATGTTGCAATAATACATGCACTGTAATATCTTTATTTATAAATAATATATATACATATTTATGTAGCTAAACTAAATTAAATTTTATTATAAACACACACACACACACACACATATATATATATATAAAACATTAAAATAGATATTTTTATCTTATTCATTTCTTCTCCATATTGTACCTGATATAAAATTTTGAAGTGATTAACAAAAAAAAAATATATATATATAACAATGTAAGTTACGGGTAATTAATCTCTCAGGTGTATTATTACCCAATTCCTCTTTTACTTTGTTCACTATTATTATTATTTTTGTATTAAAATTATTTATAACCATAATAATTTCTCATTTGCGCTCAAACATAATAAATGTTAAACATGATTATCAGCTTTGTTATATCATTATTCATTGCTTAGGGACCAATAACGACAGCCTAATATTAATAACTTATTATCCATGAAATTCCATACTTAAAATACATTGATTGCATAGATCATCGTTGGATAATAGTAAAGATTTCGAATTAAATGTATTTTTGGTCGGTCAGTTTGCATTTTAAGAGATTTTTTTTGTAACAGGTTATTAAATAATTCTTGAGGGTAAGATATGTTATTGTAATACTTTCTTTAAGTGTAAATTTATGTATAATTCAATAAAAATATAAAACTATATAAACTATTGCAAATCTAGAGTTGATTTGACCATAATGTGTTATGAAATAATTAATTTGCGGCTATTATAATTTAAGAAATAGTTTAATTCACTGTGTTTCAATTGATTAAATACCATTTTGCCTGTACTCAATGTTAAATAAATTTTTTTGTAAATTGTTGTATGAAATGGTGTGAATATAATGTATAACAATTAGTATAAACTATTTATGATAATAAAGAACTGTATAGTATATTATTTGTTTTTGTCCTTTCAAAAGACAACTAAATTATCACTTATATTTCTAGAAAATAGATTTCAATATGTATACAATATAGAAGATATTCATATGTGACCCCACTTTAAAATTAGGGTGTTTCTACAGTTAGCACTGTAAAGGGTACGTTGAAACTCATCGACAATAAACAGCCACTACTGATAAATGGTCCCTAGATCTTTATTATACCGATGTTGTGGACTAGACTCAGGTTTTTTGAAACAAATTTTAAAATAAAAAGTGTTACACTGTTTAACGAGCTAATCAGTGTTCACTGTGATGCGTTTTTGTGGTTAAACATTACATTATAAATACATAAAAACAACTTGCATATCAAATTTTAATGTTATTCTCTCAATATTGGCTTCACATTTTTTTCAAAATAAAAAATAACCAGTGGCTTTAGTTTTCATAAACAAAATGAAAACAAGGAAAAGCTTACAAATTAATGTATATCACAAATACCAGCTTTGTTTAAAAAAGGAGTTAATATAAAAATATGATTAGGTAGAAATAAGTAATTGTTTTAAAATTATAAATAAATCATAAACACATAAAATTAAAAAAAAATTAAGAGTAAATTTTTTTTTTTTTAGTGATTGGTTTAAATTTAAGATAATTTAAAGCTGACTTATAAGTTAAACCATTCACTAAAAAAACCTGAGTATAATAAATTTTTTTTTGCATTATTGCAAAGTGAATAAGTTTTCAATTAGGGTTTTTATTTTCTCGAACTTGGTGGACCACCCTGTATACCATAACATCTTGACTGAAGATCGTCTGAAGCATGAGCTTTTATTTCTTCGTTAAACACTTGTATGCGATTTTTTACTGGTGATCCGCCTAAAGGAGAATCTTGTTTTAAAGTTTCAACATCGTTAAAAACAACTTGAGCTCCACCGCCGGTAGTTTGAATGATATCGCCCTTGAACGTTAAATGTATAAATTAAAACATTTTACTTAAACAGATATTTTAGAAAAAGTGTAACTATACCTTGTAAAGTTTTGCTTCTGGGACACCATTGTCATCTTGTCCTTGTGTAAGCAAACAATATTTAGAAGCATCGGTTTTGGATACAGTTTTAGCGTCTGTCAGTTTAGTGATAGACTTTCGTTTTCTCATCGTGGGCTGCATTACAGTTTGCAACGGAACAGGAACTGGAGGTATGTGCTCTAGCCAACGTTCTTGTGGATCACAAGATTTCGATCTTCTTGACCGAAGATACCGCAAAGTAGCTTGAGAAGGCTATATTTATAAGTATGCTAATAAAATGAAACAAATAGTTTAATATTGGTTGAATATTTTACCTTGCTAGGCGTGTTTGCAATGGCCTTGTTGACCGATTCTGGTTTAGTAAAACTTTCATCAGACAATGTCCGCTTTAGAGTACGCCGACTGTTAACATGATTCGGAATACTTTCTGTGCTTTCAACGATATTCTTGATATGACGGAGTTTGCGTTTCTTTTCTTGTAATTTGGTCTGAAAAAAATGTATTAACATTTAACACAACCATTATAAATATTTTAATAATTTAGCTATTTTTATACAAAAGTGTTCATGCTAACTTCAAATTCATTTTCTTGGACTTTCCATTTATCTTTGAAGTCTTTGGACAGTTGTTCTTGCTTTTTAACAATTTTCGAATTGTATTTCTGTTTTAACAAATCCTTGTCGGCCGAAGCTTGGTTGAGCATATTCTCTTTGGTGTTCAACTATACATTAAAACATATATTATTTAACTTATAATAAAAATGTAATTATGTAATTACCATATTAAGTATTAATACTTTAGTAAATCTTACTAAATAAGATGTATGGAAAAAAATAAATTTCAATAAGAATGAAAAATAAAAACAAGAAAACTTACACTAGATTTTAATCTCTTGTTTTCACTTTCAATTAACTCCATTTTTCTCTTTAATGATGCATTTTCATTTTCAAGTAAAAACGCTTTGTTTTGATACTGCTTTACCTGCACAAAATATTTGATTAAAAGGTACAATAAAAGCAAAAATGGAAAAATTAGCGGTAAATATTAAGGGTGGATAAAATCTAAATTTGTAATGCGTACTTTATTGTTGTCTTGATCCCTAAGTATTTGCAGAGAGTTTAGTTCTTGTTTTGCATTTGTAAAATTGCTTTCCAAGTATACCAATCCAGATCTTATATCGTTACCTAAAATATTTATTAATTATTATTATTATTAAAAAAAAGTTACTACCTACTTAACAATAAAAAACAATTCAAATTCTACTTCGATTTATTAACATAACACGTAGTTCATTTTTTTTCTTAATTCTTTGTTCGAGTAAAATTAGCATTTCTTGTCGCTTTTCTTCAACTAACAAATCCTCAAACTGCAACTCTGGTAATGGAGGTCCCAAATCTATATAACTGCAAAAGGAATTTAAAAATAAAATAAAACAATTTTAAATAATTATTATTTAAATATATAAAAATAAAAACCTTGAAAACAAATTATTCTGAAAATCGTTGAGGTTTTTGTTGTCGAGTGGATCTGAATTATCTTCTTCCAAAACACAAGGAATACGGTTAATTGACTGAATCTGAAATATTTAAATTAATATCTATATAAAAAAAAAAAGCAACTTAACATACATCAACCATTTTTCTTCGGCCTGGCGTCAAACCCAAATCCATTCGCAATGGTGTCATTCTTTTTACTTGTACACTGCCAGACATTTCTCCAAATTGTAGTACAGGCTACCCATAAAATAATTCATATAAATAGAAGATAATGAGAATTTAAACTAAATTGTTTTTTTTTTACCAGAAGTTCTGCGTAATCAGACATGGGATTAATACAAATGAGTATTCTAATTGATCCAGAGCCTTCGAAAAAGCTTTTAAATAAATGTGTCAGTCTTGAAGTCCTATAGGGTATCTTCTCAGCTATACTTCTTAAATTGCTCGAAGACTGATTATCATACAATATTTTAAGACACTGTTTAAGATTTGATAATGATTTGTTTATTTCACCTAAAAATAATTAATTATTATTAATATTAATAAAATACTAAAGTAATAAATGTATATAATATGTTCAGTATTAGTTTAATCATATAAGCACATTTCTGATTTACGTCAATTTGATGGTTGAACAATTTCTTTTTAGATTAACTAATTATTGGCGTTGTTGTTTTTATTGTTTTTTTTAAAATTAAAACTTTCTAGAAAATATAGGACTTAGGGAACTAAATTCATAATATTCAACAGACCAGCTTCTTGTAGACGTTGTCCCGTTGTTTTTGCTTTTCCTGCTCTTTCACTTCCTGCCAAATCTACTAATGATAATTGACTGACAACAGTATACTTTTTGTCTTGAATTACATTGACACCGTCAGCATCCAAAGGAGCCTACAAAAAAAATAAAACTTAAGTGTGAAAAATTTAACTAAATATAAATTCAGTTCATATATTCTTACTTGCACTAAACGTAAGGTAAATACCGTATGACTACGACTAGAATCAATATTTAGAAGTGTTGGTGCTGTACGTTTGCGTAATTGTCCTTTTCTTAACCAATCAAAGGCCTCATCGGCACTGTTTACTTCTTGTTCATTAGCACCGTGGACATACATGTTACCATTTGAATCTTCTCTGATAATTTTACTATTCCTGAAAAATATTAAAAGGACTTATTTATAAATGAATATTGAATACACAACTCTGAAAACAAGTTATACAAGAAATTTACCGCTTAATTTCTCCGTCTGACACATCTTCTAAAAGGTCATATACATAATTGTGGTATATTTCTACATAGCTGATAAATACAGAATATGCGACATCTTGGTCAATATCAACAATTTTGTAATCAAAAGGTACTCTATTTGAATCTCCATCTCTTCTAAACATGACAAATATGAAAAGAAATGAGTTATTATTAATTGATTTTGTTTGTTTTTAGTAATAAACTATGTTACTTTTTAGGTGTCTTTGTGAATTTCACATTATTTTTGAAATCCTCAGCTTTGGATATCATGGCATCTTCAACGCTCAAGATATCATAGCCATTTAATTTATCAGGTTTGAATGTAAACCTTCTTGCTTGGTAATCTGTTATAGAATTAAAGATTACATCGAAGCATCGTCCTACGATGCCTCCATCAACATGATTCCCCGTCATTGTATATGATTTACCACTGCCTGATATACCATATGCAAATAACAAACTACTTCGACCTGACAAAAGTTGTTCAATTAGGGGCAAAGCTAATTCTTGAAAAACAACTTCCTGAGTTTCATAGTCTGTAAATATTTTTTTGTAACTGAACTGGCCTTCTCTAGATACACCCCTGTCATCAAGAGGGCATTTAATTTGTATATCAGTATTAGAAATCACGTTGATGCATGGATTTTCTACAGAAGTCGAAATTGGGCGTACACGGCAAAACACTTGAATTGGATCTTTTGCGTCATCGTCAGATTTAGGTTTTTTAGGTGTCTTGGCCATTTGGCCACACATTCCTCTCTTCATTCTAAATATTCATAATAACCAACATTAAACAATTATAAAGGTATATAAACTGAGAACTTTATATTTTAAATGTTATTAACTTGATAATAATCTTTGTATATCTTTAATTAATTGCTGACGTTTCTGACTCTAGCAGAGACCATCTTTAGAGCGATAGTCATTATTTTTGGATGATAATTATTATGTATTTTTATAATTAGTATTAGTATTTATCATATATCGATATTTACCAATTTTATTTCAACAATTTAAACATATCGCCATTTTTTAAGTGGAAAACTAGGTAAACAAACCATAAATATTATATTATTTCATTTTCACTCTGCCAATGTTAATAAACGGATTCTGTTATTGTTTTTTAAATAGTTTGTTTTACCATGATTGTTTCTCTTGCAAAGGGCATCATGTTTCAGTTATAAATGGAAAATGGCTATCTAGTATAATTATATAATATTATCTACAGTTGTATGTTACTTTTTCGTGTTTAATAGTAATAATTATCGAAAGAAAAAGTGTTTAACAGTTTAACTCATACGTACTTTTATTTTCCTTTAAACCTCACTGTAACATTAATACATCTCGTATTAACTTTTCGACAAAAACATTGAAAGGCAACAGCTAATAATTGAACATAACCAATTATTATTTATTACAGTTGATTTTTCAACGGATAAATAGAAATGTGTAATGACTAATGACCGTTATAACTCTAGCCAAATAATTTAAATGATAATACAGCCTACAGGAAATTCAACGTTATGTGTTGTATTGGTTCAGAAATTTCCCCCCAAATACTGGTGTTACCTAGTAATATACTGGAAATATTATTTTCAACATGTGGCTACACTGTTGTTGGGAGGAACTGTATCCTTTCTCTTTAAAATGTGAGCCACTATAATACAATATTTGTTTATATTATATTTGCATAAGTATATTTATTTTATGATAGTTTTTAAGTATACTGTATTGATAGCCATAAATGTTCTTAGGACTTTTTGTCATAAGATGATTTTAATCTTTAAAACACATCCATTGTCTCACAGTCTCACGGGCCACGACATTTGAGATCATTGAAAAAAGGTACCGTATGATCCAGTGTGACCAATATGAAAGAATGAATCACGTTGTAGACCGAAATCAGGTGTTTAACAGTGTCGTGATAAGAGCATTGTTTTTTGTTATGGATTTCGTGTGTTCTTGTTGATTATGACAAAATTTATACATGATAATTGCATATAATATTATATTTTATGATTGTATAATAATTTAGTTGCACTTCAAAATTGACTAATGTTGTATTTTTTAATGAACCGTAAAATATTTAATTACTGTTCGTGTGGTTGATGTTTGCCAGTTGAAACTGCAAATATTTCCGGATTAAATGTGAGTACGATTTTTGAGTACTTATAGAACCTTGTAAATGGTAAACAAATACAAGAACCAAAAATTATCCTTTTAAAATGATCACTATACTATACCGTTATGCTGTAACAGTTTTAGGTTGCATTCAACGTTTGAATAAAAAATAACTAACATAAAATAATTATAACGATTGGCCCCGAGTGAATTTAAGCCAAGAACTACATTTAGTACATACAAACCAACTAAAACTGATAAGCTAAAAGTTCAGCTTCTGAGTCTTAAAAAGTAATCCGATCTTTATATAAATTTGTTAAAACTTCTATGGATATTGAAAATATTTACTCATGTACAGGATCAGTTTTATTTTTATTTTTGCTAACGTTATAAACTAGCTTTAATGCTAGTAGTTTCGAAAATGAGCAACAAATTAACCAGACACATTTATACATATTAGAAACTAAGTGATTATGTAGATCTATATAATAGGAAATAGTTGATATTTCAGTGTACATTATTAAGTACAAAATATGAAGTTATTATAATGATAATTATTCTTCGTATGTAAATTGTTTTAAAATGTCAATAATTTACTAATATATACCATGTAGTCTTGATAAAATAAAAATTTACTTGTAAACATTCTTTATATTTTTTAAACTTTACCAATAACTGATTAACTTATAATGTCGTCCTGGCGAGTTTATTAGTGAAACAAAAAATAATTTACATAATAACACTAATAAAATATATTCTGACAAAATATAACGCATAACAATACCTCCGCAGTTCATTGAGGCGCCCACTCTCAAAACAACAACTATCAGGGTAACTTATTCTTATCGCTCTATGCGTTCCTGTTTTCCTTTCACGCTGGAGCTCAATATTGATAACACACAATGAGTACATAAACATTATATTGTAACATATTTTTAAATCAATAATTGAAATCACTGAAAAATGTAATTTCATAATTGAGTATTACATAAATATATAGAAATTCTTTTGACGAAACACAATAAATAATTTGTGCTTTAAAAAAATACCATTGATTTTGATTACAAACACTAATCTTTATAATGAATGATAATACTTACAAAAATGTATTTTATTAAAAACTAATTATATAATAATTTATGTATATTAATTTGTCTTTTTTTTTCTTTGAAAATAGATTTCATACGAGGCCTTGTAAAGCAGATTTAAAAAATTTAAAAAGATGAGTGATGATGATAGGGACATTGAATTGGAAACGGCGGAAAAACGAGCACACCATAATGCTCTAGAAAGAAAACGACGTGATCATATTAAGGACAGCTTTACCAGTCTACGTGATTCAGTTCCATCATTACAAGGCGAAAAAGTAGCCAGCCGTGCACAAATATTGAAAAAAGCAGCAGATTATATACAGTTTATGAGGCGCAAAAATGTATCGCATCAACAAGACATTGACGATCTCAAAAGACAAAATAACATACTCGAATCACAGATCAGAACATTAGAAAGAGCGAAAGCAACGGGAAATTACGCTATGGAATCTAGTGAGTTGGCACTGGACGTTTCAGGATCGGAGAATTCAGATGTTTCTGACGGTGAATTACAAAAGTCTAAAAGAAGACTAAAAAAACAAAAATTTGGTTATTAAATTCTCATTGATTTAATATATGTATATATTTATTTTACATTGAGAGGTAATCTTTGCTCGATTTTCACACTTATACGTTTAACAATAAAAAAATGTGTAATCATTTTTACTTAACATACGCTTTTTGATTTATATGCAAATGACATCAAAACATTGGTATTAAAAATTTTAGGTCATTTTTCAAATGTTGCTTGTAGATTCTATGATACAATTCTGAAGTTGTTTTTTATGATTTGTTTCATAAACATAATAATATTGTCTTATTATTTCGAACGCCTTTACATAACTTTTCTTTCAAAAAAAAAAAAAATGTTTTTTCCTTAAACCAAAAATAATTGGTTAACAACAATTAATAATACTTCTAAACATAAAAATAGTGAAATGGATAACGTGTACAGTTATTTTACCATTATTTTCAGGAGTATAGGACTTAAATATTTATCGAACAATCAATAACTATAACTTATAACCATAATGCGTAATACTTAATCAGTAAAATTGTTTTTATGATATTTGTTCGCAATGACCTACCTATGCTCTAGTATTATCTATAGTATTAGTCAACATTTTTATAGTACATAAAAATTAAACTATAACCAGGGCCGGATTGGGATGAAATAAAGGTCTGGGCGATGATACAATTAGGCCTACTCGGTTAAAATACTTAGAAATAATAAATTCTATAAACTCAAGTGGCCTAAAATCTTATCAGCCCTTGGCGATTACCTTTCTGCTTTCCCACCCAGACTACAACTCTTTAATTCTAATTTTGATATAAGAACATTTTATTATATCATTTTTATGTTTTGCATGTATAAAATATTACACTTACTATGCCAAAAACTTATGATTGGTTTGTAGTGATTTGAAAACTGTGCAAATTTATTGTTGTTTTTTATTTTTATTTAAATTTTTAAGTTCATATTATTAATGTAACTTTAAGTTCTAGTTGAAGACATGTTCAAAACTAATAGCGTGTTCACTGTTGTTATAATCTGTCAACTATCAACCAATGTATAGTTATTAGTGTATTTTAAGTAGTTAGGTATTAAGCTTAATCTTTCTAAAGACAGTTGTAAACCTTTGGACAAGACATGTTTTTAATCTTTATAATAAATTGTATGGAGTTTACTGTGGATTTTTATTTTTTTTGTAACACTAAAATAACAAAAAAGAAGTTGAATACATATTTTATTTGCTTTAATTGTAAAAAACCAGAAATATTATATTAAATACAATTAATTAATTTGCAGTCACAAACGATACAACCTGAAAATTTGTTACAAGGACCGTTTACCGAAATCATGTTTGGATTTACCGTTAAGTGCGTATTTTCAAATTTCACGGAACTACTACATAGAAGCGACTACCAGTTGTTCATTACTGAACTGTATTCTGCTTCAGAACTAAATTATGATCTTCTAACTGTAGTATAAATACGGTATAAGAGTCTATTCAAAATCAGACTGTTGATGGTATTATTGAAATAAAAAAAAAAAATTTTAAATAATGTTTTATTTAGTACTGATAATTCAAGTTATCTAAAGTGCCCGACTGGTTTAGAATGGTTATCGATTAGGGATAATAAATAAGATGTAATACTTATTAATAAGAGTTTGAGTGTTTTTGTTATACACATAGTTAATATTATAATAACTAATTATAAACCAAGAATTTATAATTACCATAGGTTTTGTTGCATTTTATTTTGAATCAATTAAATCTGTAATTTTTAAATTATAAGTACATACCAGCTATAGTCTGGATCCAATACATTCAATTAAAAACACAATCAATTAACCCACTAAGAATAATAATTTTAAATATTTGTTTTATTTTTTATGACCAATTATTTAAAAAAATATTTTTAGGTGATAATTTATAAGTAAATGAATATTCTTAAGGTTTTCAAAAATGAATTGCATAGTAGGCATAAAAAGTATTATATTTCTACAAAAAAATTATTTTGTATTTTTTAAATATTTATTATATTAAATTACCAAAATATATCAATTTAGTTATAATACTTTTTTTTTAATCCAATTATCATGTGACCTGTATAATTATTTATATCCAACTTTTTGCTAAATTTTATTAGACTGGTTCAAACCTTAGCTGCCTGAACCTGTGTAAAACAACAGGTTTTTAGGAATAATAGTACAATTGTATTGATTCAACAAACTACTAAATAACAAAATCCGATTTTATAATTTAATGTGTGTGAAACTCCCTTACAACGATTAGCTACTTAGAAATATTAAAAAAAAAAAAAAAACAATATTAACTCCAACTAATAATAATAATATTGTAATATGTCTCTTATTGTAGTACTCATAATGAGTTTTTTTAGGTTTTTATTTTGTTATTGAGTTAGTTGCCGATTAAGTAATAAAGTCATTTTTGTACCTAATTAGAACAGAGTGGTAGATAATAATAATAATAAAAAAAAAAAAATAACAATTTTAATAGTCTGAATATTTATTAATATATATATAATTTATCTTCAATACATACAATCATACATATTAAATACCTAATAAATGCTTAAATAATGTGTCGAATTATAATATAATGTCATCGTTATGTTTAATAGGTGTATAATAATTTTTATTTTCAAAGAGAAAAAATAGCTTTAATTCCAAATTTGATATGTATAAGGGCAAATCGATATGTTTAAGTTACACACGATCACCGACGGACATATAACTAGGCTCCTTATATTTTATATTAAGTAAGTAATTCACAGATTTTCTATGTATGAACACTCATAAATTGTTTTTTAGTTCCCTGAACAGCTTATAGTATTGCAACAATATCAAATAGGTAACTATTATTATTATTCTGAAGATTAATGGTTAAATTTTAAGGTTCACAAATCATAATTATCATTAACAAAACATTTTGATTGATCTCTAAATAGGTAATTTTTTTTGTTATAAGTCCGCCTTTGATCGCGATCATGTACCTAAATATACTTGACATAATAGCTATTATAAAAAGTATGTTATATTATTTTTGGCATAAATATCACAATATTAAAAATAATTAAATAAAACAAAAATATATATTATTTTACTTAAAACACTAATGGTATTTAAAAAAAAAACACATAAAATATTACAATTTGATAACAATAATAATAATATTATAGTAAGAATATATGATTATAGTTAAAATACCTTTTAGGACGTTTAAATCACATTTTGGTTTGGAAACAGATAATTATTTGTATTAACATATTAATATTTATGTTACAGGGTGATTCACAAACTGGAGCTAGCCAATACTTATAGTTTTTTTTAGTCTCTTTCCAACACAAACGATTTATAAAACACTTTCATGGAAGTATCCAATTGCAAACTGACAATATTACCATAGTAAAAACAAAAAGAAGAGTGCATTACCAATCATATATTTAAATGCACTTTCACTAGTGCCGGCTTGAAATTATAAAACAGACATTTGTTATATTCAGTCGGCGAATCACCCTGTACAAATAAAGGTATAATGCAATACCAGTATTATACTTAAATGTTATATAACTATATAATAACATTATGTAAATGAATGTGTCTTTTGTATGCACTTATTCAAAACTTTATTGTGTAATAATTGACGAGCAGAAGGGGGTGGGTTGGGGCGGTTGTATAACCCATGTAAGATTGCAACAAATTGTGTAATTATTATAATAAATTGTGATATGTATAATATGTATTTTATATAATAAATTGTGATATCGTATAATATATACTAATCAAATAATTAAAGTGATTTGTGTGCAAGCTACACGACCATCAAGGTATCATGTCCCAAAAAATGTATCATGCAGGTGTCTTAGGTAGGTACGATTTGTGATGTATCCTACTACTGTGCAACAATAATCAGTCAATGGTCAATAACACATGTGTAGTGGCTAGGTATATAAAAAAAATATTTAGCAAAATCTTTCGCTCCCAGTAAATTGACCTATGTCCTAACCGTTATCGACTTATTTTCAAAATCTCAAGTATATTTAAAGGAAAAATATAGAAACAATCTTTCGGACAACCATTACGGTATTTATTTATTAAGACCAATCAAAATGGTATTGACTCGAAAAATATCATATATTTCATGTTAATGTATTTATACAAAGCATATTATACAACCAATGATTTCAAGGGGTATTGTATAGGCAAAACAGGTGCACAGAGGTATTCAGAGAATTTTTAAGTAGTTTTACAAAATAAACCAGAAACGTCAACATATTTTATTCGCTATTGAATCCAATAGGCCTATACACAATGCCAGTGTTATGCTGTAAGTCTAGAAGATTGAATTTAGCTACACATATCACACCAGACAGAATGAGAATGTCATTGAAAATATAATAAGATACTATATTATTGTTATTATCAAAAGCATTGTTGTAGTCGCTTATTCGTAAGCACGTGTGTATAGACATACATAACTCATTGTGTATGCTATTTTGCATATTTCAGTCTATTAATAACATTTATTTATAATCTACCTCTTTTGTCACTTGACAATGTCTCCACGCCTAAATCGAATTAAGGTGTTTTATCATGTTATCATGTTTTATCATAACGTGCACAATTATAGGCTATTAATGATCAATTACCACGTTTGATATGCGTTTGGATATCAGTATTATATTATTACTAGTGACCGAGTACGAGGTAGTATCGGTAAATCAATTCAGCTACAGACTACACTAAACAAAAATCTTGCAAGCCACAGGGATTTGAATGAGAAAAATAACGAACAGCATACATATTTTATAAAAAGAAATGATAAACGACTTACCTTTACGACGTCTTTGCTAATTGGATGTCAACAATGGATGATGCAAAATCACTACTGTTATGGTCGTTTTCTATAACGGTATTTGAACACATTGACAATAGTGTGATTTATTTTCTACGACGGCTTACTCATCGTTGGATATGACGCAGCACAAATGGGTGTTTATACTCGACAGCATACAACAGTATAAACGCTATAGGTAAGTATAGGTATACACATACAAGGGTATAATTATTATAAAGGTTAGGGTTAACGCTAATCAGGATAAGTGAAGGGTGAACGCAAACGGGTTAGCAGGCGCATGCAACAAGGTAACGAAGTAACAAAATGTAATTAACAAAAGATACTGTAATTATTTTCAAAAAAAAATAAAAAAATAAAAAAAATAGTTTGAACAGCTGTTGTGTATATGTATATAGTTTTTCAACAAAATTGGGCATTTCGATGAGTTTGTCCAAAAGACGGGAAACATGCGGAAGCATCGACCGAACAATACAATATGTAGTTATAAATTTACCATAGCTGTTGATAGTAGTAGTTTTTATAGTAATAATAATTAATAGTAGTAATAATAATAGTATATACAAGTTCCAATATTTCACGATTAAAACAAACACAGAAAAAATGATTTATTGCGACCTCCTGTTGGCCAGACTGACCACAGATATATATATATATATATATATAATAATAATAATAATAATAATAATTATATAATATAATAGTGTTAGAAAGTCAATAGCTAATGAGTAGAAAAAAAACCTAAAATCATTATAATATACAACCTGTATGAATACATCAACATGACTTGTGCTTGGTAACAATACAATACTATTGTAGGAACTCGACAGTGTGTTAACATGAAATAGTATAACATTATAATAATATACATAATATATATATATATATATATATATATATATATATATATATAGGTGTATATATATGTATGAGAGTAATATATTAAAATTATCTATTGAAAAGTAAATGTATATCATAATTTAGTTTGGTTTCATCAGTTTTTCAATACTATATTGTTGTGTTGTTTTTTATATATATATATATTGTATCGAAGGTACACACAGGAAAATTACATTACAAAAAATGTATATTAGAAACCATTTTCCGGACATCTTTTAGTCCTTACCTATAGTTCTATAGTTATAACTTTACCACGGCAATAGATAATTTTCAAAAATTGAAGGCATAGAAGACGAGGGTATTTCGTTTGTAATTTTCCAAAAAAAAATTTTTTTTTCTTTTTTCTTTTTAAGACTGAGAAAAAAAAACAAGTATTTACATTTTGCGCATATCTAACGTCCTCTCGCCCACCGTAACAGGGCATCCGCTAAAATGTCCAAGTGAGCTTTGGTCTGAAAAATACAAACACAAACAATTTATAATGAATAAAAAATATATATATATATACATCATAACAGAAAGTATACTTTATTCTCATACAATGGAGTGGGAAAATTTTTCAGGGTCTCTTAGAGCCTTCAGGGTTTGTTTTTTTCATACAAACTTAAACACATGCACTTTAATGTGATTCCCCCCTGAAACTGAGTTATTGATGTTTCTTTAGGTAAAATTAGTAATGAGCAAAATATAAAAAACGGTTGTTTGCAAAAAGGGTTTAGAACACAGCAAAGTAAAATAAAAAGCATATTAATTATTGATTATTTAAAAAATACACTGATAACAATTGGAATTTTGATAACGAACAAGTTGAATAAAATTGAGGGATTTTATAGTATAAATAATGGAAGTAGTCAAACTATTTTGTGTAAAAAAATGAGTGTTGGCCGCAATTAGATTTTAATATTCCTCAAGAATAAAGTAATCATTTTTAATTTCTACCTGGATTAAACGAATAAAAACATAATTTACTCTTTATATATTGATATTAATCATTTAACGAATATTTTATGCTTTTCTTAATAGAGTAATAAATGTATAAAATTAATTACTGTTAAAATACCACTTATTATGTAATGTATAATTTAGTAAATTAAATTTACTATAAATCGATAAATATTAAATGCGTTAATTTTGTTACTTTTTTTTGATCTTATGAATTTTGGTCAGCAGAATCCATTTGTTTTAATTTTTAATGCTCGTTTACAGTTAACGGTGGCCTAATGTAATTTGTATATGAAATAAATATAAATTGCCGCCAACATAGCTAGTGCTATAGTTGCTTCGGTCGAGTTAAAGGTATAAATTAAGGTTTACTCGACAGTAAAAGGACTGAGGTCCAATACTTCACAACCTACAGCCGTTTGAAACCCGCCATTCTTTTTGGGACACCCTGTATTATAGGGCGAATAGTTTGAAAATTTAATCCATTCAATTGGCCAGTGCGCCTGTCGAATAACGCGATAAGGTTCATTTTTTTTAGAATAATAATAATAACAATTATGGGGACGTTTACCGGCTGCCACCGCAAGGCGTTTGTTAACACCAAATGTGTTCCTGTAGGACGAGTATAAATTATAATTTTTGTAATTTTCCGTAGGACGTTAAATGCGAGGTGTATTTAAATTTAATTTAAAATGATGTATTGCGTAAGTACACGGATGTGTGCGGCGTCAGGGGAATGACAGGACAAAAGCTCTTTAAACTCTTAAAAGAATTAAAAATAATGGTTTTACGTAGCAAACCGGAAAAGGGCAATATTTCACCACAGTTTAAGGCCTACGGTAAAGAAGTTGAGTATTAAAATTTGTTTTGTGTCATAATATTCACTTTATCACTCTAAAATTACTAGTGTTTTTAATTTTTGATGTATTTATTCTACAACGAGAATGCTCAGAATGTTATATAATATGTAGCTTGAGTGTGGGAAACCCAAAGAAGTTATATCAATCTACTGAGCAAATAATTAGATGACAAATGTAGTTTATAAGCAAGTATTGCTATAGAATAAGTATGGAATAAAGTGTAAACAAAATTATATAAAAAGCAGAGTTTTCTTTCACTAAATTAAGTACAACTCTGTATGGTTTAAGTTAATTGTACCATTTTGGTGCAGCTCTAAAGTTGTCAAAAATATAGACAGGCAACCGGTACAATTTTACCTAATCAAAATATAATCTCTAACAACCAGCTGTGTATTTATATTTGTGAACACATAGTTTACTACACGGTAGACTGGGTTTTTTTTAACGTGCCAAAATATATTGATTGGTTACGTAATGATATTGTAAAAACCGGGAGGCTTGAGGGAGGGTGATGTATTTTTAAACATCAGTAGAAAATAGTTTGCTCCTTCGGTTCGTTTACCTACTGAGAGATAAAATAATAAATCTGCGCCCAAGGTGGGTGAAATGGCATCAGACAACCGAGACAATAAAAATATTTAGCGACAAATTAGAACTGTCTAATCATTTATTTTTGTCTTCGGCTAAATTTAGGTCCAATATTTGCCTACACTACTGTTTTAGTTGACCACGGCTGTTTGGACAATCCTTTTGACTCGCGACGGGCACGTGCTATGATAATAATAAATAAATAACAATTATTTTTTTCCTACAAACGGAGATGTACAACCGTGGGCGGGTAAGCAGCAGCAGCAACGGGTATCCCACTCGAAAGTAAAAAAAAATTAAAACAAAATATAAATAACAATAATAAACCTTCGACCTTTTTGGGGCGATGGCGGTGGTGGGTACACAAAGAAACTCCCCTCTAATCGAATTAGATTAGCTCCGGGGCCGCCCTCCCTTTGGACTTGGCGTGACGTTGACGATAGAGAAGACACACTGTAAATTGCACACTGTGTATAGAGTAAAAGCCCGAAGGGTTGTATCGATTCAAAACACACAGGGCCCATGTGTTTGAAGTTTAGGCAGAACTACTCTTTCCGACAATTAGCCCGCGTGTAAAGTATATTTTCAGCCGATTTCACCAACATTTGTTAAGGGTTGAACTTATTGTTAATTATATTTAACAACTAGTTAATGAAAATTGGGTTTCATTGAGATTTATAGGCCTTAACACGTTGTTAAAACGATTGTTAAGTTAATCACCCGAAATCGGCCTGTTAAAATTTATTGTAGTACTTATGTTATAAAATATTTATATTATTAGAGTTCAGAAATTGTTTTATAATTTTTGTTGACTGTGTGTAATAGTAATACATATTAGTGAATTACACATTTGATGAGAAACTTCTTTATATTGAGTGTTTAGAAAACAATAGAAATTACAACTTTGATAACCTTTTAATAGGTAAGCAGAACTTATTTTATGTAGGTAGATTAGGTAAAAAGGAGTGGCACATACTTGCATTATAGGTTCAAATATCATAATTTATTGTATTTTGTAATTTAGATAATATTATTATGTCTAATTTTATTAAAGTAAAAAAAAAATGCCAAATAATAACAAACTGACAAATTAAATAGTACAATCACTTATCAGTCATCACATATCTTAATAACCAATGATAACGTGGGAATCGACGTAACCGCTTTGGTAACCTAACTAACATTTTTTTAACTTAACAAATAGAATTTAACAATAATAATTTATGGTGAAACTTACTTAATTTAACCAGATGTTAAATTTAAATGAGTGTTAACTATAATTATGTTAAGAGTGTATTTAATAATAGTTGGTGAAACCGACTGTACAGGGTGGGCCACGGGAATAGGGGCAAAAATAGATGGATTTTTCTCAACACTGAATGGGAGTAGGAAGGTCTAGATAAGCTCATTCGATCCGTCAGATAATGCCATTTAGTTATCACTATGGCGCAGTTGAGTGTTGTTTACCGTGTGTTTGCGTACGACGCGTTTGTGAAAAAAACAAAGAATTGAGAGTTAAGGTGCAGCGTGCCCGCTGCCAACGAATAGGGTCAAAAATAGATAGACATAACTCAGTATATTTTAGATGTACAAACATTTTATTAATACTTTATGATATGTAAATGAGTGCCATTTCATTTTTTAAAAATCACATCAGACATATGACAGCCATCTTCTTTATAACATGAAACAAGTCCGACGTTGAAGTGAAGTCTGAATGCACGCTGCACCTTAACTATCGATTCATTGTTTTTCACAATCGCGGCGTACGCAAACACACGGTGAACAACACTCCACTGCGTCATATTGATAACTAAATGGCATTATCTGACGGATCGAATGAGCTTATCTAGACCCTCCTACTCCCATTCAGTTGAGAAAAACCCATATAATGTTGTCCCTATTCCCGTGGCCCACTCTGTATATGTCTTAAAAAAATATCGAACCGTCGCGTCGGTGTACTCACTGTTTTGAAGAAGAAACAGTTTTTTCTATCTTCGTCGTCGCCGTTTGGACAGTCTATGTACCCGTCGCACATGACGTGGTCGTCTATGCACCTGAACCGGCCTTCCTTGTCGGGCGTGGGACAGGCGAATCGCTCGAATCCGTCTTCGGTCGGCGGACACTCTGCAATCAATCATCACTTGATTAAGTAAAAACATTATTAGACAACAAAATACTACTTAATATGTACAAGGCGCTTTATTGCTAGTAAGACACTCACTATTCTCTTAAAAATAATTGCAGTTTTGTAGTTTTTATTTCTGTGACATTTTAGTTTATGGTATTTTACAATATTCAATTGGTTATCCTTTTTTTTTTACTTTCAAGAGCTCTATCGAAATTTGAGACTTGTACACTTAATTAACATTTTTGAAAATAACAGTAATTTGCTGAAAACGTCGACTGGCCGTTAACCAGTTTTGGATAATCACTTCTGAAGTAAAGTCTAAAATTTAGGATGTGTGGTAGAATAATGTTACACTCCACCCTTCCTCCTGTCCTAAATTTTATTAGAAATTATTCAAAATATTCAAAATGTTTAGCAAATTAATCTTAATTTTATAGGTTAGTTAAGTATGCGTTTGTTGACAGAGCTCTGGAATTTGCAATAAAGGGTAAATATTTAGCAATTTTACAAAAGAAAACCGAATTATTTCAAGAAAAAAAATAGTGTCTTATCCTCAACGAATCACCGCATGAACTAGTAGCATGTGCTCGGTGTGAGTGCATATAATTAGTTTTACTAAAGTTCAAGATATCATATAAGTATAAATAGTCCTTAAGGGCCCCGGTGCTAAAAATAGTAGCCGCAAACTATGAACAAATTCAACTTATTTTTAGCTTTATTTATATTACCTTTCAGGTATAATTTTTGACTTACAATATGTTTTCATGAGTTATATCTATTTTGGTGGAGAAAAATGACTAAGTAACATATTTAAATACATTTAAATAAATTTTAATTTTAGACTAAATAATGGTTTCCTAATAAATAGAAATATTAATTAAAATACAAAAATTATTCAAATAATAAAACAAAATGGGTTTTTTATTTAAAAAATAATAAATTATTTCAATTTATTTATATGTATAAATGTATTAATAAAATGTTATAAAATTACAAATAAATGTAAATATATTTATATTGGACTCTTTTCAATTAGAGCAATAATGTTAAAGTTATTATGCAAGTTGTATTTAGTGTAACCGTCAATTAAAGTTTTTTTAAGAAGCTTTGTGAAATGCAAATTTTAAACCAACAATATTTCATAGTATTGTTTGTAAATTACCATGGTATGGAAATAACATTTTCTTTAATTTAATTCAACATTATATTTATAGCAAAAACTATATAATTGAATAATAAAAACAAATAATTCTCTCTTATAAAATAAAGTGTTATCTGTCAGTCTTATTTTCAATACAATTGATTTTATACAATGAATGTAGGGCCGGGCGATTATATAATAAAGCCCACTAATTATTATATAACAATCGGCCATACTTGGTTAGTTTAAATAGAAATAACGGATTGAACGAGCTCAACAGACCCCCAAAAAACATCAAAGGTCATTGAGTAAAATATGTATTAGTTGTTGTAGTCACTTAATAATTTTATATTGGATTTTCTTTTGACTCAAAGCTGGAGCGCACTTTGTGTTTATATATATTTTCAAACGAAATCCTTAAACGTCCAAGAGAATATATTTTCCAGTGATGTAACCAAGTCACGTGTACCAAGTTCTTGGAAGTTCATTATCGTCAAGAGTTCACGATCAAAGTGGATATATTTAAGTGTATTAACCATGGGATTCCATTCTTGATACTTAGTTTGTTTAGCGAAACTTTTTTAATTCGTTTTACTATGTGTTTATAGCTGTTAGATAACTTTATTTAGAAGTGAACATCATATAATATAGTTTGGTTCCATCAATGATGGTAAATACGGGTTTTTTTTTTAACAAGGCAATAATTACTTTGTATTACATGCAAAATATATAATTATATTATACATAAAATATAAAACAATTATATAATATATAAAAATTCATTTTAGAATTTAGTTCTAAATTTAGATTTTTGCAATAAATTGCCTACACCAAATGCGTTAAAAAGTAACAAGTGTAACCTCCTCTTAACGTTGTGTTGTGGTTTTATAGTATAAAAAGTAACTGACATGTCTCTATCCATTGCAGTTTTTTATTCATTCCATACATTTACATGATTTTATTTTTCAAACTCATCCACTTTTTCTTAGGTTTACCCTTAATCGTTCTAACATGATTTTTTTTATTATACTTTCTTTCAATATGCCCAAACTATTACAATAAGCTCAGTGTTCTGTCTTATTTTTCTTGCTAATTGGCGCAACTCCCAAATTACTTTTTATACACTTTATATACTACTCTGTCTAAACAAGTTAGTCCACACGTTTATGACAAAATTATTATTCTATTCACTTCAATTTTCTCTTCATCTCTTTCATATCTAATTCTCAACACTCACTTATGTGTATCATCACGATTGTATAAAATAAACATTTTTTTACACTTTGTGTATCTTTGTAACTGTTATTACTTTATAAACAATTTATTATGTTTACATTAAACATGCATCTTTTATAGTGTAAAGAAAAATAACACATTTTTAAAACTTAAACTGATGAAATAAATATATGAAATGTGTCAGGCTATCTTGTTTTTCTCATACAAACAAAATATGACAATTTTTTAAATTAATTTTGCAACGATGCAAGTCAGCTCTCACAAAAGTAGGAAATTGACAAAACTTGCCATTTTTAAGCAGTAATATAACAAAAACTACTTGATAGAAATTAAAAATTTGACCAACATTTTCTTAAAAAGAATGTATTTAATAGAATATTTAAAAAAATATGGGGTTACCATTTAAGTTTTAAAAGTCAATATCATCTATGCGCAAATCACTTAAGGTATGATTTTGGATATAAGCGTTAAATGTGTATAAAAGCCACCAAACCTACCAACAACCAAAAGTCAAAATTTGAAAAAAATTAATCAATAACGGCTCTAAAAATTGAACGTTCTCGAACTTTTTGATTACCCTGTATAAGTATACATAATATTTAAAAAAAATCAATCGTATAATAAAAAAAAATACTTTTTCAGCTTTGAACCTGATCCATCGAGATTTGTTAGCCTTAACACGTTGTCATAACGATTATTAAGTTAATCAGCCGAAATCAGCTTATTAAAAAGTCAATTGGCATGTTTAAATGCAATAGATTGAATTTTATATTACTAATTGAGTTTTGATTATAAAATTATAATATTATCACTTATCAAATTTCTTGATAACCAACGAAAACGTTGAAATCAAGGTAACTGTAAAAATTTACCCAACTAACATTTAGGTAACTTAACAAATATAGAAACTTACTTAATTTAACCAGATGTTAAACCCAAGTGAATTGCCAACTAACAGAGTGTATTTAATAATAGTTGTTGAAACCGGCTGTGAGTGTTTTTTCGGGTAAATAGAAATACACACAAACACGTTTGCAACTCATGATCCAACAGTGAACACATTCCAGAGAGCTAATCCGGAGGATTGTGTAGGAAGAATGGCCAAAAGGTTTGTTGTTGTTGATTTTTGATTTAAACCCTTTAACGTTTTTACAATCCATAAGAAAAACGCGCCGTGCATTGTTGTTGACATTTATTTTTTTTGTAGTTAAATTCAGAATAAACGTTTGCTCGGCTTGTTGTAAGTCACCAGCCGCATTAATGGATGTACCGCACACAATGGGCGTATGCGATCATGTGGGCTGCGGCGATCGTTAAAAAGAAACGCTTGCAAACCAGCGCGGGTGTTTAAGCTCTTATAAATATACATTGCGTTGTTTTACAATACAATAAGTACACGTCTGACGTTTATTTAATATATCTGTGCTTAATCCGGGCTTAGAGATTGACGAAAAAAATAAATTAAATTTATGTGTATAAATATAAATGTACATATATGTGTGTATAAATAAATAACATGTTCGGTTTGAGATCTCAGATTATCATAATTCGTCTTGGGATAAACTTATTCTTTTGGTAACACGTTGTTTTCGTTTATTTTTTATTCAATTCGCACACAATGTATGTCAGCCACGAAAACGTTTCACGGGTATCGCAGTTCTGAGCTTTATTGGAGCTATCCGATTACACGGTGGGTTTTTTTTTGAATGCTCAATCCAACAACAAGGAATTGTAAACAGATATTATGTATACATAGGATATTCCACTTATATCGTATTCTACATCAGAGTAACTAGTTAAACAAAATCAGTTCTATTGCGTTGACTAATTATGCATTTATGCTTTTTAGAGATTTAAAATAATATTAAAATGTATGTAGAAGAGTAGTAAACTATATTATAATAATACTACATTAAACTTGTTTTTGTTCCTAAGCATAAATTATTATTAAATTCGGGGAAGTTATAATTGTAAACTTTTTATTGATAAATAAAATTGTGTATTCAAATTTTTGAAGGTGGTTAATTTGCAAGCGGTTGAAATTATAACGAAAACTTTAAATCAAAACCTTTTGTCTTCAATTAGTTATTAGTGTGAGCGAAACATTTAAGAAACTTGTAAGTCAATTGATACAACTAAAAGACCTCAGTAAAGACTGTTGTAAATATTGAGTTGCATTAACTTTACCCGGCTCGCAATCAGTAAAAATCAACCAATCCATTGAAAAAACAATGCAAATAATGTTTTAAATTTAATACTTTTTAGCTTCACATTTATTTTTTTATTTTCAATTATAAAAAACCACTGATTGTCTCTAATCCGATAATTTGCTCTAATTAAAATCACCATAAAAAAAAAAGGACACACAAAGAAATCTAGATTCAAAACATAAAAAAATCATAACTTGTGTAAAACTCAACAAGTGGACTATTAACAAGTGACATGTTTTATATGAGCGTGTACGTTATTCGCAAAAAAAAAGGCGGCAATTCAAACTTCTGATTAAAATCCCTTCTTAACAGATACATTCATTTCAAATGTGTTGATGTTCATTTTGCTTCTCTCCTTCTATCTACAATCTCTTCCCTGTCACTTCATTTTTCATTGATCTCTTATCGT